TAATTATTTGGGGTTTTATTAGGAAAGATACTAAACAATATTTATTTATTTGTGTATGTATTTATGATTAAATCTAAAATAAAATTCCAAATTATTTTTATTACCTATTTAAATGTCAGTATCGCTTCTTTTTTTCCTCGCTGAAATGGGATAATTCGCAATTTTCCATGCAGTTGATGTTGGAATTTTCGTCCGTGTGGCCGTTTCTTCTAAAGATGCTTGCTTGCTGGCACCACGTTCAAGAAGAGTCAAACAAACATTGTTTATAACTTCCTTAGTCTCAATAGAATAGTGTTTTCTACATTTGAGCGGGAGCATCTCCTGAGATACACGAGACTCATTTTTTGAGACATATTTTGCATAATTCGCACACGATTCAACACACGCTGTATTACACACGAAATAAGAATGATTACTAATAAACTTAAACTGAGTAGTATACCAAACCAAACAATATTAAATACAGGTAGGTATAGAATTATTTACTATTGCGGACCACAATTTTACCTGAATTTAAATTCCAAAACTTTAGGTAATAATCTTGTTGCATTGTATGTTAATGATCACCCTTGGATAATCCAAAAGCAATTGGTCACTATCTATGAACAGACCATACCTGTGATTACTGAATTTTATTGTTATTGTTGAGTATTAATCTTATTAAATAATAAGATTACGACGGACTGCGTTTTGAATAGGACATTTTTAATGCAGTAAACATTTTGCAAAATTAAAGTATATAAAACGGTAGGCAATCAGATAAAAACAAAATTTATTTTCATGGCAAAAACATGTTTTATTATTTTTTTAAAAGGCTTTTTCTCATATTACTACATAAATACGTCTATAGTTAATTATCATAATTATCGACAATTTATGACAATTATATAAATTATAAAAATATATATCCAATTAGTTAGTCTCCAACAATTGATTAGTGGTCGAGTTATTTATAGATATTTATAGACCGAGTTTCATTAAATAACTTTTTTCCCTAATAACTCATATCGTTGCCCTTTCGCAAACTTACACTTTGTAAACAGCGATTTCCGAGCACCTAATCCGTTTTTTCCATTAATTGAATGGAATCTTGGCATATTTTGATAAAATACTGACGAAAAAGTCTATTCCAAACAGAAATGTTGATTTTTCTGAGGCGATGTTGATTGTTGAAAGTCGGAAGGTTGAACGGGACGAGTTGAAACAATTAATAATAAGAATATTATTTATTATTCCAAATTATAGTATGACAAGATATAAAGAAAAAAAAAAAAGGAAAGAAGAAAGAAAGAAGACAGGGCCATAGGAAAGGAGATTTTTTTCATGCTTCGTTAAAATGCCGTGCTAATTATCAACGTATTAAAAATTTGCATTTCATGTATCTTTTCAATGAGCTAATAAATTGAGTAAAATCATTTATTTTATATTTATCAATTATAAAATCAATCTGATAGGAGAAGCACTTTTTGAAAAAATAATTTTTATGAAAAGGTGTAGTTAACAAATGTTGTCTACGAATATTTATGTTGTGAATATCTGTACGATATGTTTTTCATGAAGATAGGGAGGACATTTTGACTCAATTATTTTGTAATACAGAATACAGACATACCGAATGCAACACACGTCGCTGAACCATGGAAAGTCATCCCAACTCTTCAAGCTTATAGTAAACTCTTTGAACTTTTTTGTATCCTTTTAATATCAACAGAATCCACAAATGATCTATATATTGTATCAGCAAAATTAAAATGTCATATTATTAAAGTTTCATAAAGAAGTGACTTACTTTTTTGGGATAATTAATGTCGGTGCGAATATAACACTCTCTATCTAAATTTTATACGTTCCGTTAACTGTTCTCGAATGATACCATTTCAGAATAACATCGCAACAGATTTTGATGGGCTCGCTTGAAGATGGTGTCTATTACAAATTTTTAAGAGATTGTCCAAGTCAGAGTTTAGTATTAACCTGCGACGGGGAACAGGACGTGTAAATCTGGGTATAAATGATACTTACAATATTGGAGAGAATTTGCGAAGTTAAACATGTATATACTATAAAGGAAGGCGCCCAGAATGTTTCCTTGAGGGACTCCTATTCTAACCTTAACCACTTAAACACTTAAGCCGCAGGCTTTAGTGTAACCAAGCATAACTAGAACCGTAGCACTGTTCTCATCTCGTGCTTTTACTGCGTCATTCATATCAGTCAAAGCCGTTACGCAGCTGTAACCTCCTCTAAATACAGACTGTCTATAGGGAATAATCTGATTGGTTGTTAAATATGGAAGAATTTGAGATTCCATTACTTTCTTGAACGCACCAGTTAAGTAAATAAGTAATATAGGGAATTATAAAAGGGCATCAGAAAGTAATTAGAGTAGTATTTAACTTACCTCTTCGAAAAACCTTTGTCTTGATATTTAGAATGATATTAGAAACAGTTTCCTCAAAAAATAAAAAATAAATGAAAAAGTCTTATTAAGGTTAAAAATCCTGTTCAAATAGGGCAATAGTTCATAATTAGTTACAACACCATTTCCTATTATTTGAGTGAAATATTTGATCCACATTCTTTAAATCTTCTGGTATATTTTTCTTCTTCTTTCCTTTGCTTCCATGCTTTCTTGTCAGCCCTTATGCCAAATGTGGTCAAGTTTCTAAGTTAATTTTTGAAAGAAACTTGCTAACGTTTCGCCAATCATCTTGTTGGCTTCTTCAGAGCTTGACAGAAACTGGCTCGTATTTTAGTCTGTACCTGATTATATATTGTTTGGGGGGATGGGGCGCTGATGAGGGGCATAAAAACCGTCTCGGATGACTGATTCCCAAATTGGTGACAGGTATATAGACTCTCGGATTTTTCGCTGGTAGAAGATTATTTGCAAGAATTTTAGTTATATGGAATAAAATTTTATGTCCGGTTTCATGAGTGTGTTCGGCAACAGCTGATGAGTTTATTTGTCTTAGTCGTAAGGCTCTTTCGTGTTCTTTGAGCCTAGTTGATATTTTTCGTCCGGTCTCTCCAATGTATTCTTTGCCGCGACGGCGAAATGTCCAGCAATTTGGAATCAGCAAAAACCGATGCAGGAGGAATCTAGAAGTTTTGTAAAAAAGTAAGTTTCTAATAATACCAGTGTCCTAAATCTCCAGTGCGACGAAATCTATTCAAGGCTTGGTTTCTTAACCTTTTCATAAATTTAATATTTTCAGTTATCCAAGGAATATACGGCTTATTAGAACTTTTTATCATCCTCACTGGAGCATGATTATCAAAAACATTAAAACCAACGCAGCTGCAACTACCTAAATTTTAGAAAGATGTAAAAAAATATAGTTTTATCTTTAGCGTCTTCAGTAATTCATACAATACAAGTAAAGCTCTTTAGGCAATCGGTGTCGCACGTGGAGTGAGAACAATTCGTGACTGCTTGGTAGCAACGTCGTTATAAATTAAACTTCCTGCTCATATCCGGGACTCAATCAATACGCTGTCGACAAAATTCACAATGGTCGGATTCATTATTTTACCGAAAATCGATCACACGACAAAGCAAACACGGAGTATAGGCATATATGAAATAACTTCACACAACACAGGACCTTTTTTCAGTACGAAAATGGTGTTCGTTGTGACAACATTTTCTTCATTTAGACAATAATTTTCGTCCACTCTCCATCTCAACCGCCGTGTAAGTAACGCCTAGAGTCTATAATGAGCTTACAAAGAAATAACTCCAAATTTTAGCCATCAGCAGTAAACATCCCAAAGTTTCGTTCAGTTCGTACCTCGAAGATTTATGGTTTCGCACTTGGTGTTTTTTGACTTAAAGCGTAATCTTAATTACAAGAAAACCGCGTTTATTTCGGAAAGCCATCGAAAGGTTAAATAAGGCGACAGATAACAGCTGTTACGCAACCGTTGCTTTTAAGCACCGCGGGTCAATTCTGCTTAACCTTGATCTTAACTCGACTTTTAGCTATACTTAACATAACGAAGAGGAAGCTGACGAAGACTCTTGACTCTAATGCATATTACATGTTTTTAGACAAAAGCCAATAAATTTTATCGCCAACATAATTAAATTTTTCCTATGTTTATTTTACATCTCTTGACAAAATGAAAACTAATCTATAAACGTGATTGTGGTGATAATTCTTTTAAATGGTGTTGGTGACGAATAAAATTCCTCCATCAGTCAATCATGAGAACGATATATAAGGGCGGGATGTATTTCATCTTGACCTGCTCGTACTTAATTAGCGTTAACCTTCTCGGGAAAATGTCATCGCGTCGTTCTGATATAATTAAAGAAGTTCAGCATCCTTAACTTTGTGCAAAACAAGGTCCCTAAGTAGAAGACTAACCGAATTTATCCATAACACCCTCGTTAAGAAGAGATGAGTTTTAACAATTACAGTCTTCGAGAGAAACATTTCCAAGCAAGGTTTCTCATGAATTATTTTCTGGTTTTTAAAGAGAAGTTAAGATTTGGAAGCTCAAATCCAGAATTGTTCATTGGTACTCATACTGAATATCTGGACAACTAAACCGATGGTCAAATTTAGTACCCCGTAAGTTATATTCTTCAACTATCAGACATAGAAACTTTCTGCATCAATCTTAATTCAAAAGATACATTGCCCTTTTCGACTAAGCCCATCGCATTATTTTTTGAAAATTCACGTTCTTCATGTTGCTTTCTTGAATTGTTAAATATATTGCCACAATATAATGCGATATAATAAACACATGTTTAAATAATATCATTAATTTATTCGAACAATTTATTCTAGAACTGAAATAACAATACAAGCATTAATCGAAAAATGTTTCTATTTTCCAGACAACAAGAAATTTTGGTGAAATTATGACGAAAGATCATCTGTAACTGATGACAATTCAACCGTTAAAAAAAATGAAATACTGGATTGGCAGATTGAGCTACGTAGTTAGCTTAACTATAGTTGAGTTACTGTATCAGCACTAATTTTCAATAATTATAATAATAATACAAATCTGCTTTAATTCCGAATTGATGTATTCAAAAAACAATATCTCATTATTAAAAATTAAATTTTAAACTAATACAAAAATCATTATAGTTAAAATCAAAAATGGAGATTTAAAAGCAAAAAGAAAAAAAAATTGTATCCAAGCTCGTACTACATTAAAAAACTGAATTATATTAGCGGTTTACTTTTTGAAATAATTGTTTGTTGTACAGGATGTCCCATAATTTAACCGCCACAAAGGTACATGTGATACTAGAAATGAAAGACGATAAATTTATGTTTCTTGGAGTTTCTTTTTTCCATCTTTATCCGCTTAACCAATTCACCAATAACAAATCTTATTTTATTGATTTTGACATCATCATGCTCTTTATTATTATTATTATTGTCTTGAAATTTTCGCACAATCCACCAGCGATGCTGGATCCGCCCATCGACGCGATCCATAGGCATGGGCACGCTGCGCCACCTGCCGGCGCGCTCGCGCAACCCCGTCTATCTTTCCGCCGCGACGACCGCCCTTATTATACCGCGAACCGACGACCGCGACGCTTCCGACGACGCTGTCGTGCCGCCGCCGCGTCCACCGCCTCCAGCAGCTGGGGCCTTACTTGGTATCGAGTCGTCAGCGTCAGACATGCCGAGGGTAAGTATCCCTGGACTATTGCAACATTTTATATGGGCCCCAATAGTGTTCATATATCGACTTCGACACAGGGATGGGATTACTGGGGTAGAACGGAATCAACGGCTATTGTTTGTATGGGTTGTGGTGGTAACACAGCAACGGGTTCATGCTGTTCCGTGTGCCAAGTATTCTTCAGTCTTCCGGTCGGGGTTTCCGGTCGAAACCCTTGAAATGACGAAGTAAACGTTTCACCGGTTTGTTGTTTTGGAAAATGTCAATAGCGCATAACTTTATTCGTTTTCTGAAGCTGTTAGCTGTTCCGTTCAATCACAGCCCACATTGAGCGGCTCTTGAATGTTGTTGCTAAGTGTAAGTCGCCTTCACGTCCTTGTAAGTCAATTGCCTTTCCAGCTCTAAAAGCGGTTTGTAAGCTTTCGGTCGCCGTTAGAAGTTTCGTTTAGGGTAGATGTTTTATATCAAGTTTATTTATCTCTAAATACAAAATCAAAAACTGCAGCAACAACCGATGTTTCAATGTTTCTTTATTTCTCATCTGAATGTTACAGTCAATGATGATATATAGATTGTACACTATATGCCAGTCATTTTATGATAGATTTTAAGTATAAATAAAATGTAAAGCAACAAATATATGCATAACAAATATAGACATGCACCAAACAAATATTAGAATAAATACGCGCACAAAATTATACAATATATTTAATTAACACACTGTAGAATTAACATTTAATATACATATCTACTACAGATGTGAGTCGTCGTTATAGAATTGATCTACTGCAGAGTAATATTTAGTTATTAATAGTAGTTCTAGTTTTTTTTTAAACGGTGGTGATTTAAACTTTTCATCCTGTAAGTTCTTGTCGATCTTTGCAATTTTGTTATAACATTTAATTCCGAGTCGAGAAAGTCTTGAAAATGGCAGTGCAAGATCATTTTGTGCCCGTGTATTGTGGTTATGTACGATTCCTCTGTTTTATATTATGTGTTTTCAAGTAAACAAATAATGAATAAATATATAATGATGTCAATGTCAAAATTCCCAACTCTCAAATATTTTCTACAAGACACTGTTGTTTTGATACCCGTCTTACAGCTGATTGTTTTTTTTTGTATAATATATATATCATTGATACAGCTAACTTGTCCTCAGTACACAAGGAGACGACAGACTAGAACAAACCAAAATACACCAATTTAAGAATCTCTATAGAAACAATTTTTTTGAGGTTGTTAAATAAGAAGCAGATTGAGCTTAGCTCAGGTGTTATATTTTGTATATGATTGGTCCATGTCATTTTTTGGTCTATAGATATATTTAAAAATTTAGTACTTGATACATTTTTATTTGATTTGTTTTCCACTCGCATCAATACACTGTTATCCACTGTAAAATCCTTTGGTACTATTTTCATGGCCACGGTTTTATCCGCGTTGAAATTGAAGCCATTATTGCTGCACCATCCTGTCATCACTCTGACGGACTCAGCAATTTTATTTGAAATTTCAGGATATGTTTCACCTGTTGATGTTAATGTTGATGAGGTTTGCATACAAAATTGGGACGTCAAAGCTTTCCAAATTTAGAGGCAGATCGTTGATAAACATAGTAAACAATGAATGTGATAAACAAGAGCCTTGAGGTGTACTTTTATTAATAGGGCGGACGTAGAGAGCTCTTATGCCCATATATTCTAGTTTTCTTAGGAGCAAGCCATTAGACGCTATCAAATGCTCTACTAAGATCAAAAAATAGTCCGAGCATGTACTCCCTATTATTCAATGAATTATAGAGGTGGGTAATGGCTTCATCGAGATCATTACTAGTTGATTTATTCCTACAAAAGCGATTTTGGTTTTTTGACATTAACTGAAATTTTTCTAAATAATTATTTAAACGAGGGTTTAATTCAAAAACTTTACCGAACTAATATTGTAAAGAGAGTCGTCATAGTTCTTAGTATTGGTTGTCTCACCCTTGGAACCATTGGAATAATCTTAGAACATTTTAATTTTTTTGGGTACGTACCTTCGACGAAACTCTGATTTATTAGGAAACTTAGACCCTTTCATCAGCTTGTTATCCATAGCAGGTGATTTTTTTTTACATACTTTGTGAATGACTAAAAAGACTTCGGTTGTTAATGGATTGCCATATTGAAGATTTGTTTCCATTTGGTGTCTCTTGAAATGAAACCAGCAGTACTTTGGCTAGTTGTGGTTTATAGATTGTTGAAATTCACCTTACTTATATGGTAGGCGTGGGTGTGCTTGGTGTTTACGGTAATGAAAACCATTGAAATTGAAATAAATTCGAGTGCTCAATCCTTAACAATAATTATTATAAGCGTCAACAAATGTGGATTGCTGAAAAACATTGTATAATATATATAATAATATATGCAATAAGGAACGCCTGAACGCCCGCGCCCGCACCGCAACTAGAAAAAGAAAGAAGTAGGATACGTTAACTGAGAAACTATAGCATTTTTCATCAAAAAGTTTAATACAAACATTTTTAGGCTTACATACTTTTATTATATTTCCATATATACAGTGCGTTCATTCTTATTTTTCATGGAACACCATATATATTGTTACAAGTTTATCTTTGAACGATGAGTTCAATGACACAATGTTTCGGATTTTTTTTTAATACCTGTCTGCTATAATGACACATTCTTAGACAATTGTTCAATGTATAATTTAATTTTAATAAGTAAAACGCTAATAAATTCAAATCGTAGAGTATAATATTTATGGTGACCACTAAAAATAAGAAAGTTAATGTCGCCGGACAATCGAATGAAGACCCTGTGTATATGAAGATATAATAAAATAAAATAAATCTAATTTTTTGCTAAGGTCGTCACTCCAGGCGATTTATTTCCTTGGTTTGCAGAGTAATTTGTATCATTTGAAAAGCAATTTTTTTCTGTTAATCGATTTGATTCTTCAGTTTATCTCGCTCGCCTTGTGACACGAGTGCTTTTTTTGATAAAATAATTGTTGGAACCTAGTCTGTGATAGCGTGCTACTGCGCTGGATTCTCCCGCATGAGCAGACGATCAAAGTCCGTTCATTGAGATCTCCACGAGCTGTGTGTCACGTAACCAGAACGCGTGTTTTTTTCACAGAATTTTTCGTTTATATGGCTCAAGGTTTTTCCATCGTATAGTGCGGACGCGTCCACAGGAAGATGTAGACGAAATTATAGACTGTTGTTGTTTACCACGACAGCGATCTAACCAAGTGATAGGATGCAATGTAAACAAATATCGGAACAAACGAGTTATATCCAACGATTTAGAAACCGACAAAATTGATAGTACCTTCTATACTAAAATAAATAAAAATTAGTTTTTAATAAATGGGATTAACGAGTTTGATAAAAATTGCAAACATTTTTGTACTTCTCAAACAAATCTTTACAAGCAAGTAACAAAGTAAAACGAAATAAAAAATTAGAAAGGCAATTCGTTGACAAAATGGCTAGAAAGCTACAATATATATAAACAAAAATTACGAATAGTAAACCATTCTTTTGGGATAGTTCCTTTAGATTGTTGCTGTTACAAGTTATATCGTCAAAATTATCGAATAATAAAGTCCATCACCATATTTTTCGTATAAAATATTTTATTTTTATTCAATAAATAATAAATTATTGATTAATTAATTAATTAATAATTACTTATGTTAACTTTATTAACACGTTTTATTCGTTACACCAACGGTCAATATTTGTCAAGTCCATCGGCATCTGAAGAGACCATTTCATTATGTTATATGATGTTATGTTTTCTTTTCCGTGACAGAGGTTACCCGTCACATCTCTCAGACACATTAAATAAAAAGTCCCATACTAATAACCGCGATAATTTTAATGGGGTTAAAGATTTCATTCGAAGATCGATAGAAGTGTGCAGTCTATGAGTGAAAGATACGGAAAATATTCATAGGCGTACCTATGCAGAGACACTTGTTTTTGGATTTAAATCTATCAAAGGTCGAAAACAAAAATGCGATATAAATATTTTGATGTGCTCAATATCCAAATTATATCGCGAGAATGTGAAAAAAGCGTGCAAAAGTTATGTAAATAATGTAACAGCAAATGTTCAGTATACAATATGTCCCAGATTCGCTTCTCTATTCAGGGATCTCCGTTCCTATTGTCTCTACAACAAAGGTTAAACGGGGAAAGTTTTAAAATAAACTATGTGCATTGGATAACCGTCTTCAGAATTAATATTTCATTTTTCTAATGGTCGTCATATTGGATTTTTCGATTTTTGAAAAGAGCGTAAAATTGCCAGTTCCGTTATGTCTCACAAGTGCACAAAGCATAATATGCAACAAGTGTGGTAAACGGCATTTGATTCACAAGTTTATTTGACATGAGAGGAGCGCAACGGAGCGAGTGTTTTATAAAAGAGTGACTTGTCACTTTTTTTCCAACCAAGGAGGGCCCTGACTTCGACGATAAAGAATTCAAAGTTTCAAAGTTGTATTCTAATAAGTAGTACGTTTTCTCTTATTAAAATCATAAATGTAACACTATTACTTTTCGCCCTTGGATTTCTTCCACTGGGGTCATACAAAAAATGAATATCAGAAAATTCGCTTGAGATTATAGAAACCTTGAGATAAAAAGTTTTGGATACATTTAGAAATTTTAACAGAAATACACTTGCTGTACGAAAAATAGTCTCCAATTGCCAAAAATGTTTCGATGCAAATGGACGTCATTTTTCAAATGTGTGTGTAATTGGTTAGTTAGATTTTACATTACGTAACTTATAAATTGTTTCTGTCGCCACTTTATTTTTCAATTTTTGTCGAACCTGTAGGTTGTTCAAGTGTTAACTAAATTAACGAAGACTTTTCTGACTTGTTCTTTTTAAAAAGCACACACGTGTTTTACGTTCATGTTCTATTCAAAATTCAATGCGTTTATGCTTTTTTTATGTGTTACTTATTAATGTTAACGTTAAATAAATCATGGCTTACTCATAAAATAAGTGTGATAAAATCTTTTCTGCACTTTCGAGACATCTTTAAACTGGAAATTTTACAAACGAATCGAAGCTGGTTATCCAGCCGCTAAGTTTTCTCTGAAACTTTTCCCATTTAACCTTTGCTGTAGGTATAACAGGAGTTTAGATCCCTGTATAGAGAAGCGAACCTGGGACACATTGTATACCGAACATTTGCTATTACATTATTTATATAACTTTTGCACGCTCTTTTCACATTCTCGCGATATGATTTTGTTATTGAGCACATCAAAATTGTGTTCCGACCACGAAAACGTTCTTTTGTACGTGAATTTTTTAAATTTTATCTGCAAAGTCCCAATATCCCTAATCGGTTGTCACAAAAATTTCATTAGCCTATAATTTTTCGCTAACCAGTTCTATTTATTGCCTTCAATCATCTGTTAGGTGCAAATAGTTGTTAATTCTAGATTTCGATGTTGGTTAAAATGACGGTGCTGAGAATCGCTGAAAAATTAACAAAAAATAAACACGATTACGCCATGTTTTTTGTTCGACGTCGATAAACCGAAGCAAACATTTTCGGTAGTGTTTCATGTTGGTTCATTTTTAAAAGCTGGCTTTATCAAGCCTTTGCGTTTTACGTCGGCGAACCTATTATTATTAGAAACATTTGAAAAGAATTTTCTCCCCCTCTCGGCAGATAGGAGTAATAGTTTAAGTTAGCGCTTGTGACCAATATGTGCCTGGCGGAGTCGCTCGCGTGACTTGATAACATTCAAATGTTTTACAACATCGTAAACCATCCAAATTTTCTCCAAGACGGAAATTTACTTTCGATCTGGGTTTTCCGGTAAACGTCTGGCCTTTATTTATGATATTGCTATCATATTCTGATCAAAATTTCCGAAGCATAGGTCAATAAAATCATATTCGAAAGTAATTATTCATTTCAATTAATAAATCCGACATTCTTTCTTTGGTATGAATAAGGGTTTCCACACCCCGATTATGATGTACTGTTTGAAAAACTTCAAAACATTGGAGCTAGAGGAGTTGATTACGAATGATCAAAGTCAAAGAAAGTGCATTAGTGCATTTCTCCATCTCTAAATAATTTTGGTTCCGGTTCTGGGTCACTGCGACGCCACTGGCTTTTTTTGAGATTTTTTATTAGAGTTAACGTTTCACTGAATGATGTGTGAGTCCATAAGTCGGGTGCAAAGTCCAGCGAGATTCCGAGAATTTTGAATAATAGCGAACACTATTTCCGAGAAATAACTGTTTATTTAATCTGATGAAAAAATATTTGCTGTTGATATCGCGATGTGTTTTTTCCAGGGACCGGCCAAAAAGGTTGAGCTGGGCAAAATGGAGAAGAGGAGACCGCCGATATTTAGGCCAAAGTCCAGGACTGATGTAAGACGATAGTTACATCAGAGTTTTTTTTTCCTTAATCGTATTACTACAGGGTGTTGCTTACGAAATATGCCAAATCCTGGGATAATTCGTTTCTTTAGTACTAAATTGCATTAATTTTGTGGAACACAGATTTTTTTAATTCGAAACAATTCCATAGAACTTTTTTAATGATTAAATAAAATATATAATTAGATTTATATTATATACGTATTAAATACACATGACGGAAATCCATCCACAGGATATCTTTAGACAACTGAACATCCGATATATTAGATGAAAAATGTATGTCACCGTAACTTACTGATGCACAGAGTTTCACGGGAATAAGAAAAAAATATTTATTTGTAAGTAGTCATACCTATGTGACTCAAATAGGTGGGGGCAGCTTTAAATTTATCAATCAATTCGTATAAGCAATCAAAAAGGTAGTTGTTATTAACTTACACATCCAAATTATAATAAAATATATTTCCAACTACTGTTAAACTGACTTGTTTCTTATAGAAATTAATATAGTAGCTACATATCATATCAAAGTGTTAATGGTGGAGCCTAAATTATTATTATTAGTATTATTATTAATAACCTATTATATTATTAATAACCTAATACATAATCTTGGATAAAATGTCTTATGTTATGGAATCAATTCTATGCATGCAAAAATGACAAAAAATATATAGAAAAGTTTCTAAGATATCATTATTTTAAAAAAGAATGCATATATATTACTTAGATATATGATAGTTAATTCCTGTTAATGAATTTTGTGTTCAAACACTTGAAAAAATACTCGAAATATTCGGTAAATTAAAAATTTATTAATTTTAGCGGAAATAATTTTACTTTTGAGCTCCCAAAATCTAATTCTAATTCTAAGTTTTTCAATCCAAGCGTTCAAAGCTTACGAACAATTTGTAATTTGTTTCTCTTTTATGTATGTGGTTTAAGCACCTGTTATTGGGCGCAAGCCTGTTGATTACCTAATAATAAAAATATGTAATAAATAAGCGCTTTAAAGGAAATCCTTAACTTGATAAGTCAAGTAGAATAAAATAAAATAAAATAAAGTTAGCAATAGTGAATAATACATAGAGCCCCGCGATTTATCAAATAACAAAGTCTATGCTAATATGTCCGTAATTAATTACATGTTGGCAAATATTCTGAATGTATTTTCTTCCCCAAGTCGAGTACGGCAAGCGGCAGTAGGGGAGAAAGCAGTCGGCTACGTGGAGACGGCGGCGGAAGCAGCGACGAAGACGGTTCGCGGCAAAACATCGACCTCAGGCAACGCCTTCAGGAAGAAGCTTCCCTGTATCGCAGAAGGTTGGACACCTACAGGCAAGCTCAGCAAAACCAGGCCGCTCTTGTCAGTCGGTTACAAGCCAAAGTAAGTTTTTTTCCCTCTGCCTGCAGCTATAAATGGACTTTGGATGCCAACATCATCATCAGTTCGGCAATCATGTGTTGAACCCATCCAATTGTTTCTGTTGATTTTCTGTACACGCTGTAGTTTGCAACCATTTTTATTTAATTTGGATATTAGAGTTCATTCATTCGTTCATGCTTCATTATAATAAAAACTATTGAGCCAGGTGACTATAAAAGCGTATATGTCATCATGTCCACAGGGTGAAGAAAATGCTAACTTCTCAATTTGATTTCTCAAATACTCCACAAGTTCAATTTATTAGCACACCGCAATCTACTTGATTGAATTTGTTTAATTTTTTAAAATGGTATAATGATATATTTTTGTCTGACTTGACGGCCAGGTGCTGCAATACAAGCAGAGATGCGCCGAACTAGAAGCTCAGATGGATGAGTATGCAGATCAACCGTCTTCCTTGAGACTTACGCCGTACCAGCCTATGGTGTCGACAGCGCAGCCGGGTTCTGCATTAGAACAGGCGCAGCAGCACTTGAGAGAAATCAAAGAAGAAAGAATTACCGACCTCGATACGGCACTTCAAAGACTGCAAGAAGAACGTAAAAAGTAAATCGATATATTTTTTATAAGCGACTCGTAATCGAACACCAAAAAAACTATTCGAATTCTAGGTCTGATAAACTCATGCAATTAAATAAATCCTTACGCGACCAACTAGAAGAATCACACAGCACAAACGAAACACTCACTGCCGATCTACAAAAACTAAGCAACGATTGGGAAACGCTACGGGAAGAGATGCTCCTCAAGGAAGAAGAGTGGAAGGACGAAGAGCAAGCGTTCAACGAGTACTACAGCACGGAACACGATAGACTGTTAACGTTGTGGAGGAACGTGGTGGCGGTCAAAAGACTATTCACGGACATGCAATCAAATACAGTTCGCGATCTCAACAAAATCAAATCAGATGTATCCGATGCTAGCAGGGAGATGTCGATGGCGTATTCTAGAATGGACGCAAACGTTTTCACCGACAGATTAATGAAGGTTTGTATATTCGCTGCCTTTATCGTTGTAACTTTGCTATCGTTTTATCCAGGGTGCCAGCAAGCACGACTCCAAACTGAGTGAAACTTTGCAGAATCTACAATCAGAAATAGAAACATTAAAAGTTCAAAGGGGAAATATGGAATCGGAATTGTTGCAGAAGGAGGAGAAAATACAGCAACTTCTGCACGAAGTCCGCGGTTTGGTAAGACCTTATGATGAGATATCAAAGACGATTGATCCAGCAGTCGTTTCAAAACTTTCTTCTATGTTCCACAGGAAGAAAAGTGCATAGAATCGGACCAAGCTTCTAGCCAGATTATGAGAATGCAAGAAGAAATTGATCTCCTCCAAGAGGCCCTGCGCGATATTGCCCATGCCTTAATACAAGACGCAGACACTAAGGTGCCAGAAACGTTGCAGCCAGGGCACATTCACCTTACGACGGCTACTTCTATACCCAAAAAGTAAAAATTGAGTTTTGAGTTACCGCATCATAATAAATTGCATTTTAGGTCGCCGAAAAGGACGCCCAGGGGTGTCAGTTCCAGCGCTGCCTTTGCCGAAAGCACTATATCAGCGGTACAAGCAGCGCTACACAAATATCAATCTTACATTCATGAACTACAAGTAAAGAAAATTTTCGCTAATTTTTCGATTTATTTTACTAGCATTACATTTAGGTCAAGCTCCAAGGGACAAAGGAGCAACTTTTGTTAGTTCGGAAACAGCTCGAGAATTCAGAAGATAACTCGGCGGTTCTTGAAAAAAGAAACAAAGAGCTAGTGGCACAGCTGGACGCTTGCCGAACGCAATGTTCGAAGCTCGTCCAAGAGCGCGAGTGTTTGCAAAAGTCAATCGATGCTTTAAAGATTGACAAGACTCAGTTAGATAGAAACAGGATAGATCTTAACTCGTCGATGGAATCGCTTCGACTAGATCAAGAGAAGCTTCAGAAAATCAATAACAAACTGAACAAGGACCTGGATGCGGCGCACCAGGAAAAAAATTATTTCCAAAGTGAAATAGAGAGACTCAATCAGGAGGCGGATTTGAGAGAGCATTCTTTAAGAGGCGAAGAGGATAGATGCAGCCGGTTGAGAGAAGAGCTGTTGACCGTACGGGAAGATCTCAATAAGTTATACTTAACCAATGATATGTTGGAGCAACAGAAACTCGAAGCAGAGTCTGTAATAGCGGATTTAGAAAAGACGAAAATGGATTATGAAATGCAACTGGACAAAATAATGAACGAGAGTTCTAACGTGCACGATTCGCTGGTAAAGAAACAAACCATGGCCAGCAATCTCGAGCAAGACAAAAAAAAGCTACAAGACGATTTGAAACGGGTGAGTTGGTTGTTGCAATTTGAACGCTGCTGAGACTTTTCTTGTAGCTGGAGGATGAGAAACTAGCGCTGCAGATGCAATGTAATGATCAGCAAAATGACATTCAGTCAATGAGGAAGGAACTGCTCCAGGCGGAGCAATACAAACTCGATCTGGAATCGGATAAGATGTCGCTATCGGAAAAGTGCAAATTTCTGGAAATGGAAAAAGAAAAAGTGCGTGATCTGATGGTGGTTCTGATTAGTATTTTTTAAAATGATTTTTAGATTGAAATGGAGCTGACTCAAGTCACTCGAGAGAGAAACGATTTGAGCAATCAATTAACGGTGCTGGGTAGAAAGAAAGATGCTGTACACGATGATTTGGTGAGGTGCAAACAGAAGTTGGAGCAAGCTACTGAGACCAATGGGCGAATTAACAGAACCCTAGAGGATTTAGTCAAAGAATGCGAGGAAAAACAGGTAAGTTAATTTTTCAATTGTTCGTCCCAGTTGTATTTTGACTTTTGCCCAAGTGTACAATCGACGCAATGGATAAAGAAATACAGCATCTTCAAGAGCTGTTCGCGGGATTAAGGTCGGAAAAAGAAGCTTTGGAGGCTGTATTATTCGACACGCAAACTCACCTGGAAGCGTCGGACGAAAAGAAGATCCAGCTGGAAAAGGAAATAGGCGATTTATGCGTAAAACAGGAACAGCTAAAGTGTCAAGTCTCCAAGCTAACCAAAGATCTAGAAAAGTCCGAGAGAAGATGCGTCGAAATCAAAACGAATTTGAGCCAACAAGCGGGCAGCAAGGAGGCAGAATTCAAGCAAGCATTGGAGAAGTTGCGACAGCAGAACGACGAGAGCGTGACCAAACTGACGCAAGAACGGGAGAAAATTAGAACGTCGCTGGAGAAGAGACTGCAACAGTCGATTAACGACTTGACCAACGAGAAGAATTTAGAGGCGCAGCAGCTCATGGATAAAATTGAAGCCCTCCAGAATCACATCGATAATTTGTGTCAGCAGCACGAAGAACTGATGCTAAGAGCGGAAAATGACAAACAACAAGCTCTGCTTATAGGTAAGCTTTCTTTTGTTTTATATTATGAATTCGTATGAGAAACTTATAGCTTTATTTATTTATCACGGAAAATTATAATAGATAATAGTTCATTATGCAACAAGTTAGATAAGCGACATCTGTTTTTCATACGACCATAAGTTTTTGGATACATTTTTGCAAACGAATCCGAATTTATTCACCAAGTCCCACTCTTAAACCAGTGACTCGCAAAATCTTTGTTTAGCACTTTTGGATTCTGGAAAATCGCGCTAAAGCGCTGTTTTTGTGCAAATCTAAACGTTTTTCCATCGACACTAACAATACTATCAATTAGTAAAGTAAAGTAAATGATAAAAAAAAGAAAATTTCGTAGGAAATGTATATTGCTAGATTATTATTGTTTTCTTAAGGCTCCTCGAAACATTTCCATCTCAACTAACGAAACGTTCGCAGTCCATTTCGTGTTTTTACTGGCTACTTATGCTAGGTTTTAATTTTTTAATTTTTATAATGCGGTAATACTATGAAATTTATGTAAATTTAATGAAATTTAACTAAATTATTATCAGTATTATCAATAATCATTACCACATGATAAAAAAAATAATTTTGTTGTAGAAAATGTAAATTCTTAGATTATTGAATTTCTTTTTGAAGAGAAAAAAAAAATAAAATTGACAATAATTTACTAAATAAATTCTCATAATTTCTAATCAACTGTCGATCTCTCAACTGCGCAGCTAAATATTTATTTTTAATGTACTTAAAACTTGTTATCGGCCATTAAAGATTTTATGGTTTCCTGATTGAGTAATTTTAACTGTTAGATACCATCTGAAAAATATTTTTCACGTTTTTTCCATTTCCCGTATCTTACTTGTCTGATATGGGCATAGAATAGTGGTCAGAATAGAAAAATGCGTGTAAACTAACCAAACAAACCATTATACACGGTTATTTTTTTTTTTCAAATTTTGTGCTACTTTCAAATGATACAAAATTATTATAAATATAAAACGAAAGAAAAATTTTAATAATAAAAGTAACTTGAAAAATATATCTGAATGTCAATAATTTTGCTTGTATTTTTGACAAATTCAATTTATCATTTTGTCAAATATCGTCCAATTCTGGACAATTACTAATTAGATGAAAATATAAAAATCAAATAAAGTAATCAATAAGTAATTAAAAACTGGTTGCCACATCAAAAAATGCCAAGATACGTTTTATTTTTATACTGGGAGTGACAAATTTTGAAAAAATGGTTAAATTGTAGGAAAATTAACTCTTCAAGTTTGCAGTCCAAATATTATAAGTAGTTTTACTTACTTTGCACACGTTAATTTGTAGTATATTATGCAACAACTGTAGCATTTGAGTCACGAGTTTATTTGGCACGAGCAGAGCGAGTGTTTAATAAACGAGTGACTTAAAACGTTTACCAAACGTGTCGCATGATATAGTTTTTCTACGGTCGTTTTTGGGTACATTTTTGGACAATAACACAAATACATTTACTGACCATGACCGTCAGATTTGACAAACGTCAAAATATCTCCGTGCGGTAATATCCCGAAGTGACTCATATCCGAAACCGAAACCGCACGCTAGATCGATGTATTATTATGTATTTTTCATTTTGTTCATTTTAAAAGTAATATCGGCTGTTAAAGGTACTAGGTACTGCAACACACACACGCTATACAATTTCTTGCTAATATTTAATCAGACAAAAAAAACGACCTAGAGCACAAAAACGGTATATTTAAAATAATTGCTTAAACACTGACAAATCAAACTTGACCTAATTTTGAAGCCGTTTTCTGAAGCAGCTAACCATACCGTTCGAAGGCAGTGTCTATAAATCGGGTCGCTACTTGTATGCCTAACAACCTGTTAAGTCCGACGAATCGCACTACCGAAGTTCCACTCTGAATCACTATGTAGCTACCTAAATAAAAGTAACCTAAAACGTTCTTGTGCGTTTACAACTGACGCGCATTTTTATCGCTTTGCAACCACAAAAACGAGTATTTGTTCGGAGCACATATTTGGTCAAGATTTACATGTTTCGCACCTAAATTCCGTACCAGATCCGACAGCGCTAAAAATAAATATGGATATGACGGGAATGATAATATTTTTACGATACAAAATTTTACGTTTCCTCGGTTTTGGGTAATTATTTTGCTTTCTGCGCACTTTTGCGCACCGTTATAATAAAATAAAAGGATTTCCTAATGATTTCACACGTTAAAATAGAACCATTGCAGTAGTACGGTTCAGGCTGGCCTCGATCCGGATACGCTTACACTTACATTTATAAGGTAGAAGGTTTTTGTTATGGCCTTTCGTGGTAAATCGCATTGATATTAATTGGGATTTTTCACATTATGGGTTTTTAGAAAACTATATTGCAGTGGCCGACCAAATAAATGTTTCGTCAGTTTTCTGAAATACAAAATCCCCAGATCGAGAGTTTTATCTCCATTTATCTATATCGAAAAAAAAAATAACAATTATCCTATTGATAAAACTAATTGCAGGTCGGAGCTGATTCAAATTCTTTTTTTTTAATCCTTAACAGCATCTAAAAAATTGCAGGCAATAACGATATTAATTTTAATTTTAATTAATTTAATTTAGATATTCCATCAAGTTTAAAACTAATTTTCAGTTTTATCCATCTACAATCCTTCTTTTGCTCTTATGGCATAAACTCTTTTGCACAATTACAGTTATTATGCACGAAACACGAGAACCAGTAATAGGATTAAAAATAAATTAAGAAACAAAATAAGGCTTCGAAAACTTTGTGGCAAGAGATTTCGCCAAAAGTTTTCTATACTTAAACCCATGAAAAGATGAAAAAATCCCACTAGACTTAAACTTTAAAATAAAATATAATTCTCATCAAACCTCTACATCCGTCCTTCTTACTTCAAAAATAAAATATTTTATTTCTGCCGGTACTCGTCCGTTCCTTATTTCGCTTGGAGACAACCCGTATATACCAACTATGATGCACGGTTTATTATGATTTCCAAAACCAATCCAAACATTACCGGCCGCTCATCGAAATTACCATATTAAAACCCACATCTACCGTACTATGAAGCCAGCCGATGACATCACCACTCGATATTAGGCAAATGAGTCGCCTCTAAATTTAATCCAAACGAAATAAAAATATTTTCGTTTTGCATTACTTTTGTCTACACGTTTCTTCGTCGTTCGTTGACGCATTCATTCGTTGGGTTAATAACGGTAACACTATCCTCAGCCCACCACGATCATCAAGCAGTTCACGACAGATTGGAGGCGGTCCGGAGAGAGCTCGAAGAGGAGAGAGAAAACCACGAGAGGTTGAAGAGGGACGCGATCGGACGAGCCGAGCAAGATCGCATTAGTAGCAATCAACTGAGAGACGAATTGAACAAACTCAAGACTCGGCTCGAAGAAGCACACGACAAACACGAAGAAGAAAGAACGTCGTTGCAGCACAGAATCGAAGAGGTGAGGACAGAGAGGGACAACGCGCAGAACGAGGTGGAAAACTTCAAAGTACAACTGCGTCTGTGTGAAGATAAAGGAGAAAGTGTTAACTCGCAACTTCAGGAGACTATAAGACGGCTCAAGGAAGGTGCGTCATTAATTTTTTTGCGTAGAAAATCTATATTATCAAGTATCACTTTCTGGTATCTTAATTCTTGATGCAAAACGATAGATTTTGACTCAGCAGCTAGCTTTGTGCATCTGAAAAAACGTTAAGGTTGACAAAGACTAGACACTTTTCTTTCAAAAATACAGCCATTGATATTTATATTTAATAATTAATGATTAATGATTTAAGAATGACGCTTTTTTCAACTTCTTTTTGTCCAAGACGATTTTAAACAATGCGAAGAGTTTCAAAAATGATGAAGAAAATATGTGCACAGTTTTCAGACATAGATTTTTTCTGGCATTCTTTGCATATTAATTCAAGAGTCATATAAAACTTGTTTGTAACTGTACAAAAATAACAGTAGGTAAGTGTGCAAATCAGAACTACAACAATATAATTATTACTATACTGGTTCTTTGTCAGATTCCATGATTGGTGAGGGCAATAACATATATGTGTCATGGCTTCTGCTATATCTTTTTTAAAAATGAAACACAAATCATAGTTGTGGACATTCATTGCTTTTTTTTTGTGAAAGTAGATACATTCCACATTAAGGAATTGATGATGAATTGATGTGGTCGATGTTTCGGCAATTTCATTGCCTTCTTCAAAACTCTAAAAGAGATCACATATAACCTAAAATCGTGTTCTAAAGCAAGGCAATGTACACCCTGTGCCAAATAAAATGATCCACTATATGATCTGGAAACACATAGGAGATACAAAAACAAGTTTCATACAATAGTTTCTTGGACTCTCTTGAAGACTTAAAATATACAGGGTGTTCCAAAAGTGTCACCCCTATATGCCTATAAACTTTAATTATTTATTTTTGTTATTAGGTATTTTCAATCAAGCTAATGTTTTTTTAAATATGATTTCTGAAGTATTGTATCTTTAAAAGAAGTAATATCATTTTTTAACTAGTTAAAAAATACCTAATGTTGCCAACAGTGAAATAAGGGCAGCTTTAAATTCAACAAGAATTTATAAGGGTGTTACCTTAAACCTCGAACATCTCAAAAAGTAAGCAAAATATAAATATAATATAAATTCTTGTTGAATTTAAAGCTGCCGACATTAGGTCACTTGTTGGCAATATTAAATTCCAATATTAAATTAAATTCAACAAGAATTTGGACACTAAGTAGGTAACATTTAAATATAAGATAAATTACAAACTTAGCTTATTTTTTGTCCTAGAATTGATATCTGAATAAAAATATAGGGTTTTCCATTTGAAAATCTTGAGATTTTGTTAATTGAATTCGCCAAAACGGCACCACCTATTTGGGATACCCTGTATAAGCTGAGGCTCATCTGTCAAACTGTCCTTAGTCTGTAGTTAAAGTTTCGTTGCAATACTTGGATCAGTAGCGTCACAACACAATTTTATATAGGGCACTTAAAATATGAAAAAAAAAACACATCACCTTAATTTCTGCCTAAACTATGCAAAATTCGATTAGGAAATTCTTAAGAAAGTGGCCTTTATTTTAAACAATTATTCGAAAAATGTTGAAATATACAGGGTGTTCCATTTAAAATAACAAAGTTGTTGGCAGGGTGGGGGCACTGTTGGGACAGCTTGTATAAACGACATTATATTTTAAATTTTTAGAAGAGTCCAAGAAACTTTTGTACGAAACTTCTGTTCGTATCTCTTATGGGTTTCCAGTCCGTATAGTGGATCGTTTTATTTGGCACACGGTGTACACCGCGCAATTGCAAAATAAAAAAAGTTTTAAAAAAAGCGAAATGCAAATGTATATAAAACAATACATATGACTATTGCCATTCATTTGCTGTATAATTTATTATGTATGTAAAGAAATAACAATAAAAATAAAAGTTATAGACAACATTTAAAGCTAACAATGATAGTCAGCCTAATCCCAACTTCAAAATAGCATATTTACTTAATTTCTGAAGAAATTCGTCGAGTTTTGCTTCGAATTTCGTATGCCGTACAAATTTACTTATTGAATAATGTCTTTCCATATTGACGACGCCCCGTATACTAAAAGGCCGACCTCTCGCGTCATCGCTAAAAATTCCCGCAAATTTCGACGGCCCAAACGAGTATCTTTTTTATCTTGGTCCCATACGACCGATCCGTTTCAGCCGAAAACAATTCCGAATGCCAAAGAAAAGAGCTGACCGACCTGCGCAGGTTACTAACGGACAGCAATTTTGAAAAAGAAAAATATCACAATACGAACAAAGAATTGCGGGATCATGTCAAAAGGGCAGAGAGTGAGAAACGCGAGCAATCCCGGCAGATAGAAGAGAGCTATCAAAGGATAACGAGTAAGTAGAAAGCGCTACTATGGGAAGCCTTATACTCGGTCATTTTCGGCTTTAGACTTGGAAGATCTGAAAGCTTCGCTAGAAAATGAACGCGCGCGGCTTCAAAATCAAATTCGGGACCTAGAAAAGGACCAGCTGCAAACCGAGCACAAGGTGCAAACCGTACAAGAGGAACTGCAACGCACTCAAGCGGCCGGCACTCAGAGGGAAGCGGAAGAGAAAGAACTTCAGGCGAGACTATTAAATGAAATCGAAGAACGCGAAAGAAGTCATCAGGAAGTGCACCAACTTAGAAAACAAGTAATAGAAAATAAACAGGTGGTTGATTGGTTTAAATATACAAAACTTTAGATGTCCGAATTGGAACGCAATCTCGAACACACAAGACAAGAATTGAACAGAACGAGGTCGCATAGCGCTCACTTGGAAGAGCAATGGCACGCCAAGGAGCAGGACCTTCTGATCCATTTAGAGGACCATAGAGTCAAAGAAAAACGATTGGAAGATCAGAAACACAATTTGGAAGTTTGTCTCGTGGACGCCACGCAGCAGATCCAGGAAATAAAGGTAGTATCGCGAGTTCTCCAGGTCAAATCCGTGTTAATTGTTGTTGGTTGTTTTGGATTTTAGGCTAAATTAGGAGGCGCAGAAGGGAGGGTGCGAGCTTTGGAGACGCAACTAGCGCAACTCGAAGCGTCCAAACGGGACGTGGAGCAAAAACTATTGAGCGTAGTTTCAACATTGAGGCGTATCGCTGGTATTCAGCTGGATGGCTCGGTATCGCCCGCCGGAAGGATATTGAGTCCGTCTAGACGATGGAGTCCGGCCCGAGGTGGTCACGACGACGTGAAAGACGGCGCGATCGCAATCGACCCAGAATTAGTAAGGAAAGGAGTAAGGAGTCTTATGCATCAAGTGGCACAAGTGGAAAGGGAAAGGGTAAGAAACGACTTCAAACCTAAAGCAACTAATTGTTTACCAAACGATATCTCAGGATGACTGTAAAATGCAAATAAGTGCAATGAAGAAGCAGCTACAGGAGACTCAAGACAACCAAAGTAAGGGCGACCACAAACTGAACAAGGTGTTACAAAGCTTAAGACAGTTACAAGACGAGAAGAGTGCATTGGAAACAAGCTTGGGACAAAGGAACGTAGAGATTAAGACTCAGTCGGAGGCGCTACAAAAGAAATCGGATGAAGTGTCTCGCATGAGAGAGAAAATAGTGGCGCTCGAGTTGTCGCTCAGTGGAGGAAACGACCAGAGGTTGCAATACGAGGTAAGTTGCGCTAGTAGATTGCAAACGCGAAGATGGCAGACGCGGAATTTTAGGATAAAATTGAGAAGCTCAAGGCGGCTTTAGCCAAGTCAGAAATGGATAAACGGGGATTACAAGAGGAGTTATCTAGGGCGGAGAACAGATCGACTAAATTGGAATTACAGAAAATGTCCGCAGAAGGCGATTTGCAACGATTGCAGATGATGCTGCAAGAAAAAGACGGATCAATTCAGGTAACAAAAAATTTCCGGCAACTTCGGCGGCTGATGTTTAATACTTTTTAGAAATTGCAAGAGAAATGCGAAATTCAGGGTAGAACGGTGTCTAGCTTGGAAGAACGATGCGTCTCGCTGAAGTCCACCATTGAGCAACTGAACTGTTCGCTTGAGAAAGCATCCCAAAGCGAGAGCGAGATGAAGTCGGAAATTCAACGCTTGCAGAGGAGCCTGGCGGAGAAATCTTCCAGCTTCCAGTCGGAATCCGAGAGACTGAAGCAAGTGCGTAAAATCTGTGCACAGGAAACGAATCGGGATTAACTATTGGTTTCCAGATGCAAAAAGCACTCGCTAACAGCGAGAATGAGAAACGCATACTGCAAGAGAAGATAGAGGGTACTCATCACAACCTGGCCGAGCTGAGGAGGACCAATCAGATTCTGCAGGATCAAGTGTCCAGGCTAAATAACGAGCTGGCGAACAATGAAGTGCAAAAATCGGCGCTTGAATCTCAATTAAGACTCGCCCAATGGCCTTCGGACACTCAAATCAATTCCCATCAGGAAGAGGAGTTGAGAATGCAGCTGCATTCGATCAGTCGTGAGAGGAACGAGCTGAAAGGAAAAGTAGACTCGATGAGCAGTAAGGTAGGAAACTAGATATAATTCTTGATTAATTCATTAGGTATGGTTAGTTGAGTGACTAGTGCATGGAACTATTTGGAATAGTTGTATGACATTGTGAGTCTATGGTATAGCAAAAAATGTAATAAAATAAATAATAAAAATATTCTTATTAAATATAGTAAAACATCTACTACGAAGTCTAAAAATATCAATAATATCAATATATCAAAATATCAATAATCATTTGTGTGGAAACAATGGGTCGAGACGGATACGTCCACCGCAGCCACTTTTATTCCCACAACATTTTAAAACACATTCCAAGTGCCAAGAGAGTAGGGCGACAGGCTATTCGTTGACAGTGAATCAAATTCGTATTAAAAATTGAGCTCTGATTCTGTTCGCCAAAAAAAATATATATATAATCGTATTTACTCACTATAGACCAAATGCTAATCTATAATTGTAATAATATCTTCGTTTAAACAAACAAGTTTGGATATGCTTGCAGATTTTTTTTAGTATAACTAATTTTTAAATCTCAATGGAACAAAATCTTTTCAGTTGAGACAGTTAGAGGCAGAAAATCGTAACCTGGAGAGGCTGGCGTCCAAGGTATCATCCCGTGCCAAATCCTACGAGCTGCCCGAGAAGTACGAAAGTGATATTTCCTCTAGCGAAATTAACAAATACGAACAAGAAAACAGAGACCTGAGATTAAAAATTTCTCGATTGGAGTCAGAGCTGGCAGAAAAAGAAGCCGAAGTCGCCCGATTGAGGAATCAAAAGCCCAGCTTGGACACCACATTCGACAGGGCGGAAGTCGAGAGATATAGAGCCGCCCAACTTCAGGCCGAACGTCTATTAGAAGCCAGGGAGCAAAGTCACAGGCAACAAATCTCCAGATTGGAGAACCAAGTGAAAATGCTGCGGGAACAGTTGAACGAGGAAATCAAACGTCGTCAGCAATACGTGCTAAGAAGTACAAAAGCTGGCAGGGAAATGCAGCAACTGCGTCAAGCTTTGGGTGACTCGTTGCGCACAGTATCACAAGATCCGTCGGTAGATGCACTGCTACTGGAACATGAAGCTAGGAAACTAGATAGCACGCTGGCTGCCACAGCTAGTTTGCCGCCGGCCTTAGGTTTACCGACATCGTCGTCGTACCGGCGCTCTATGACGCCACAACCCAAATAACTTTTGTAGTGATTAGGACGCGATGGTGGCAACTAACCAATCGCTGTAGGGAGATGGAGGCACGTTTTCTTTGAGCCAAAGATATTGTAGGCGCCGTATAGGAGGATGCTAAGGGGAGACAGTAAATTGATCTTTCGACACTGCCATTTTGCACTGGTTGGACACGAGTTGTCTTTTATTTTCCGTTTGTTTTAGGATATAAAGTTTCAACCTTTTCCGCGACTTTTTTACGAAATCTTAGTAAATAGATACAACGTACTTATTAGAAATCTATCCGTCCATTTTTAAACCTTTAACCGCAATAAACAAAATACTTACAACATTGGGAATTTTATTTCCGTTACCGGCCACTATACGTAAATCTCAAATTATGAAAACTGAAGGAACGACTTCAATTTTGTTGATAGGGTGTTTGCTTCATATCAATGTAAAGAAATTGTGAACAATCAGTCTTCTAAGTGCTAGTGCATTATATTTGTTAGTTTTATGGTGAAACGCCAGAGGGAAGACAACTAGGGATTTTCATGATGTAAGGTTGGTTGGTCTTTTGGTGGTTTTTTTGTTTTTGGGACCAGAAGTATTTTTGTATGATTAGCAGTTCACCATATACCTATACCAGGAGGAATCCGCAATCAGATATTAGAACATCAGCTGTGAAAAGTGGCTACAATGGAGGTAAGTACTTCAGCCGTACAGTTTTCACTGGGAATCATCAACAAATAACATTGAATAATGGTGCTACCATGGATATATGTGTATTGCCAATATATTTGTCGAACACACGAATTACTAACGCGTAAAGATATCACATGTTAAAAGTGTCCAATAATTTTGCATGTTATATGATTATCTTGAACCCAAATAAAACATTTTTTCTAAATGGTAGCTTCAGCTTTAGGAACAAGGTTTAACAAAAAGCAAAAATTTGCCTGTTTACAGAATAACCCTCAAATTAAAAAAAAAAACATTGTAAAAATATTATATCTTTATTAAAGTTCATCATCACTGCTAATGATTATTTCTTCTATGCTGTCTGCGTCCTCACTGTCTTCCTCCATTTTTTCTTCCTTTACTTCTTGACTCAATGACAACTTGCCTAACGTGGCTACATACTGCAGTGTGTATTTATTAAAATCACAACTAAAAATAATAATACAACCATTAGAGCTTTTACTTGATGAAAATCCATTTTACACATTTAAATTATTTATTTAATTATTTATGACAGCTGTTTCAGCAACACAGTATCTTTATGAAATACAAAATAAGACAATATTCTGACGCCTATACATGTAAACAGGTAGTAATAGAATTTTAATTAGCGGTGTAGAGTTATAAATTTAAATTTAACAACAGAGATGTATTTAAATCTAATTGGTCATTAAGTAATAGATTCGAATATCTCATTTTGTTAACCTTCATATTTTCCATCAAATTTAGTTTTTTGATTTGTGTAATTTAATTAAAGAATATAGGTTGATTATTAGTTGGTATATTTCCCTGCCATTAAGAAGCGATGAATCTGTAATTACAGTTTTGATTTGCTTTTGATATAACTCTACTACATTCTAGAAATTCGATCGCAATGACTGTCTCTCCTTTATCTGCTCTTGTAAATACTATATTATTTTAGGAAGCCTTATTTTTTAATGATTTTGCAATAGACCTATGTGCAAAGATTCTGCAATTTACTGCTAGTTGTAAGTTGAGATTTTATTATATTAGCTAAGCCGTGTTTGTTTACGTTATTGCGGTTATAACCGTTAACAGCAAGTAAAATTTACCATACAGAGGAAACTAGATTACAGTAATTAGAGATTTATCACTTCTTAATGACAATATACCACCTAATAATCATGAATTCTCAACTTCCAAAGCTATATTCTTTAATTAAATGACATAAAGAGGATATACTAATAAGCCCTGTATTTTCTTTTGTAGCATCACCATCAGTTAAATTTTCAACAAGATTAATAAACATGTTAGAATATCATATTAACTTTAAACCTAGATATGTTATAAAAAATCCGTTTGAACTAATGAATAAGGTTCAAGATATTAATATTCCTCCTAAGGCAATTCTAGTTTCATTTGACGTCCAAAATATATTTCCTAATATTCCACCAATTGACGTAATAAACCTAATGGACAATATTCTCACTCACAGACAAGTCAACCCTATCATAAAACAAGACTTGCTAGATAGTTTCATAGTTTGTTTAGACCAAAATTATTTTGAATTTAATAGTCAATTTTATTTGCTAAAGGATTAATTATAGGATACCCACTTAGTCCACTACTTGCAGAAATTTTCATGGACAATTTAGAAAATATACATAAACATCCGCCGAGCAAAGGATTACTTTGGTAATCACACACAGACACAATAATACATAATAACTCAAATCACCCTTACACACACACAAAATTACTGCCTTTTATGCTTTTATCCACAGACTACTGAATATACCACTTTCCACAGAAAATTTTGAAAAAGAATTAAATATAAAATAAATAACTTTTAACAATGGTTATGACCTCTCTTTGATAGATTGATTATAACTCAAAAGCAATTTCAAATAACTCTGAACTCTATCCTATATTAAGGAGAACCTAGCAAGAAAACATCTATCTAAATTGTGTCTTAAGATTGCTTTTAAAACCTAAAACACCACAGGACATTTTTTAAAAAAACAATAAAACTAAATTATGAATTACTCAAAAATATGGAGTCTATAAGTTGAAATGTGGATCATGTCCCACAATTTATATGGGACAAACAGGTAGAACATTTAAGAAATGCAACATAAAAGGGAAAAATAAAAGTTTGGATGCCATTCATTTAAATTCAGATATGCACAAGATTGATGATAATTTTGATATTTTACGTAGTCCATCAAAAAGCAAAAAACTAAATTTGTTCGAAGCTATGGAGATTAACAAAATGAGATGTTTGAATCTATTACTTAATGAATTTGACTTTAAATTTATAACTCTACACTGGTAATTAAAAATCTATTACTACCTGTTTATATATACATAGATGTCGGAATATTGTCATATTTTGTATTTGATAAAGGCACGGTGTTGCCATAACTGCAGGCATAATTCATTAAATAACTGTGAAAGTCTCATTTTTTCTTCTAATTTAATTGTAATACAACCATCTTCAATAAAGTGTGAAAAAAATTTTTTACATACATATTTGACAACTGCTCATGCCTTCTGATTAAACTCTTCTCCAAACTTATCAAGGCTGGAATATTCTGCCCCTTAATTCTTGGCCCGTAACATGTCAAGATGTGAGTGGCCCAATTTAAATAGAATTCCAAATGTCTGGAATTATCCAGTCCACTGGCAATAATTAAAAGCAATTTTTTTACGCATCTCTCGCCGAGACCGGAGACAATTAACTCCACTAAAAGTAAACTTTAAAAACATAAAACACTGATATTATAAAACAAATGTTACCGTCTTTATACGGTACAGTCTCTATCACCTCTTGTATCAAGTGGGCTTCATTTATCTTAAGCGCCATTGTCAGAGCTAAAAAATCATATATAATATGCATAGAAGTAAACAAATAGTCGAGTACCATTGACAAAGTCTTCATCTTTGATAGCCTGCCTTATGGTGCTAGGAGTGATATTGATTTGAAGATCCCATGGATCAAACACAATACCAGAAGATATTGAGTATATCAAAAGACCTTCGGTTGTGGCCGCCACCCATTGTTCGCCAGTGGGGGAAAATTGCAAGGAGAATACTCTAATCTAGAACCTATTTATTTAACACCTGCTGATTGTAGTGAAAGAGGCGCCAGTAAGCTTTTATTTTATTGATTTATGTTCTTTTCTTTTTGTACGAATTTCCTATCATCTTGATCACAGACATTTTAAAATCCTGGAAAAAGCGTACCGACTCCGTCAATGCCAATTTAGAATACCTCTGGCTTAAAAGCTCTGCTTGCCATGTCTCCCTTCCTCACTCCCGGTAATTTTAAAGCAACGTTACCGCCCTCCCGTTCTTCCCGTTGCTCAATCAACGCTAAATTCCCGAACTCCGTTAGTTTCCTTCTATTGATGAAATCCTAAAATCGTGACGTTAAAAAAGAACAAACATATGACTTCACTTGTATACATCCACTGCGTCCAAGGATCGATTCTGGGTAATCTCAAATTTTTTTACCAACAAAGCCTCTTTTACATTATAAATGCAAACGTTTTTGGACATACCTCCAGCGAGCAGATACTCTCCATCCGCGGAATAGCACAGACTCGTAAATGCCCTTAAACAAAATGCATTGAAGCTGATATCAAACCAAAACGCGCATATAATTTTATTGTGCAAATATTTTTTTTCTTAAAGTTTTGGAATATTAATGAAGATTAATTAACAAATGAATACAATGTAGGCCTATAGAATTTTTGATAAATAATAATTTTTTCCTATCACTGGTTTTAATATAACAATGGTGAGCACCTTATACACAGAACCTGATATAGCGCTGTTAAAATAAATTCATTTGAAAATCAGAGCTTTTTTGTTTTTTGCCCCTTTTTTTTTATAAATTTATAAAAAGATGATCCAAAAATGAAGTTCATGCAAATAATTTTCTTAAATTGATGGAATATAATAATGAAGAGCACCCTATACACAGAACTTGATATAGGGTGATCAGGCGCTGTTCAAACAGATTTATTTGAAAGTCAGAGGTTTGTGTTTTTTGCGGCTTGTTTTTAATATATTTATGAAAAAATGGAGAAAGTATTTGTTATTCAATTTTTTAATTCTGCATTAAGGTAATTGAATTGAGCAAATATATATAAAGATACGCAAAACTACACATCTCAAAAGAAATTAATAAAAAAAAAACAGTACAATCTAAGATGAACTTACTTAGCTTCTAGACTTTTCTTAGCCGTTATCAAATCATTATCAGATCTGCCGCTTCCCAAATCTTTTCGGCCTTCTATATTGTAAATCTGCTGGGCGGTTTTTACATGAAACACAGAAATTTGCCCGTCTAAGGTGGCAACTGCAACCTCTTGACCATCTGGTTTAAACGCTATGCATAATCCATCTGACAATAGATCGATGGTTTCATGGGCAGATCCTTTCTCTATAGCGTCCCAAATTCGAAGTGATTTGTCCCATGATACTGACACTAAAGTAGTGTTTCCAATGCCCGGGCTAAAAGTCAAACTCGCCTAAAAGTTTAAAAAGTAGATTGCAAGTATTAGATATTTATATGGAAGCACTGACTACAGGCCCCTCATGCCCGGCCAAGATTTCCAGAAGTCTGCCAGTTTTCACAGACCAGAGGTAAATTTCAAAAACATCTTGTCCCCCAGCCGCCACAAACTCGCCACTACTATCTACAGCGACACAAGCAAATTGTACAGGTCTGGGTGATGTGAATGTGCGAAAATTTCTATATCTATATTTCCAAAATGAAAATGCAAGAAAAATTATTATCATCTAGTGGGAATAAATTTGCTTTACCTTATAACATCATAAGCCCGAACTGTACCATCAAGGGAAGCAGAGACAACAAATTTTTTGCTACTGTTAAATGCTGTGGCAGTGACGGCGCTGCTATGCTCGCTGAACGTAACAAAGCAAAATCCAGACTGAACATTCCAAAGCTTAACTTTACCGTCATCCCCTCCAGTAGCCAATATTTGGCCATCGCTGGAATATGAAACGCAGACCATGTTGTTGGAATGACCCTGCTGTTTCATGACATAAGTTTCGCCTGAAAATGCGTAAAATTTATAGAAAATAAAGACAAACACATCAACAAAATCATACTCTGCCATTCCCACACTAACAGTTGCCCCACCCCTCCGCAGGCCAATGCAATCCATTGACCTGTGTTATCTAAAGAAATTGAGGAAATCTTATTTTCAGATATCCTTAGTGAGTGGATGGTGGTCATGTCTGGCACTTCATATATAAAAAATGCCCCAACAGAATAACCTACAAATGTTTCAAGTAAAAATTGACTTTATTTTAAAAAACTTATTTTTTACCGGTAACTAGTATTTTTAATTGTTTATGGTAGGAAACTGAAGTTAAGAAGGCTTCCTTGTTATCCTTCCTTATTTCGTCTGAGAGGTAATGTCTAGCAAGCCTCTTGTAGAACAATTTGCTGACATCTTTGCTAGTGTCTTCCTCCATACTGACTTTACTAAGAGCATCTACTGTTTCATCCATATTTTCTAAGCTTTTGGTAGTGTCCACTTCATCTTCTTCCAGCTCATTAGGGGATTTCTATTTAAAGCAGAAGTATATTATGAATTATACTAATTGATATTAATTTATTCAACAAAAATTATAATACAATAAAATATCTAAAAAGAACACCTTCTTTTTTGTCGGTGGATTTTCTTCATCCAAAGGTTGCCAATCTGCAGCCTCAATGGTACATTCCCATATACAAGCTTGTCCATTTTTAGAGACTGTGACCATATCATAACCATATTTTTCAAAAAAGCACCCAACAATTTCAGCAGTGTGATTTCCCAGAGAAGTAATACGAAAATTTTTGCACCTACATTTAGAAAGGAATATAGATTTGCAAATTTTTAAACGAGACCTTACTTCTCCATAGGGTACAATTTGGTGGACATATCTTTAGAACCTACAGCCAATATTTTGGAATCCGAGGACCAATCCAAGCATGTGGTCTCATCGTAAGCACTGTGAAAAACTTTCTCCATGACAAAAGAGTTATATTGACCACTGAATGGCCCTGGAGCTTTGAAAACAAATGCTGAAAGAATTATTGCAACATAATTCTTTCTATTGAATCTTTGGCGTCAGTTTTACCTGTATTGCCCTTACATACTGCGAAATGCTTGCCATCAGGGCTAAATTTTACTGTCTGACATCGACTTTTAAAGCGATATTTATGTATAACTGTTTGAGAAATCAAACTTATCATATGAGCGTCACCCTCTTCATTAATAGCAATTAAAATATGGCCATTAGGGCTCAAATCCATACATGTATAATTTGTTCGGCTTTCTATTGGGAGCGTAGCTGCATTGTTACTAAGATGTCAAAATGAAAATAATCGAAAATCGTTTTAACCATTTAGAATACATACTTTCGCAAGTCGAACATGCTCACGCGGTTCCCAACTGTACTAAGAAGCGTATTACTATCACCAGTAAAGAGAACATTCCCTTCCTTATATACAGTTCCTAATAAGTTGCTAAACTAAAATCACTTAATAAAGGAGAGGCACGTACCATACACCTCACTTACTTACTTTATAAAAGAACTTCATCTCTAAAATTCAATTAAAAAATCAAATTAAACAAACTACTAATAAAGTGATAGGTTAACGAATCCTAACCTTATCTTTCTTCTTTTTATTCATACTTCCATGTGTTATTAATCACCTAAAAGACATTTCGGATTTTTGCAAATGTGATCCTGGTAGTTTTGGTCGCAAAAATAAAAGAAGACTTTTACCATTACCGGTTTTGAACCTTGGACGAAGAATGTACCAATAAGATTTCAGTGAGTAAGGTTAATTTTGTTTGTGATTCAGGACCCAGTGTAGGTGTAAGATTTTGTACAGCATTTTGGATTTCCAAAAATGGCCAGCGACACAAAGAAAAATAAACAGAAGACTGGAAAAGGCCCAGACCCACAGGAAATTATAGCTGGATTTCATACATTAAGGGCGGAACAACGAACACTCATTTCAAAACTTTCGGAGTTTGAACAAGACTTAAATGAACACAAGTAGGTTAAATGCACTGAAGTTGTGGCTTAAGATATTTTTAGTCCCATGGGATATTATTTTTCAAGTCAATCCAGTATGGTTTTCGTAAATTGTCCGTAAAATGTGTTAGTGCAAACAGTTGTAGGTTAGAAAGTAAATTCCATTTTGGAGTTTCATTAATATGTCATCATGTTTTGCAGGATGGTAATAGAGACGCTAAAAAACGTCAACGAAGATAGAAAATGCTATAGGCTGGTAGGCGGAGTCTTAACAGAACGCAGAGTGAAAGATGTGCTGCCAGTTTTATTGACAAATCAAGAAAAGCTTTTGAAATTTATTGAAAAAATGGATGAACAGCTGGCCAAAAAGGGCCAGGAGATTAACGAATATAGAGAAAAGTTTAATATCAAATTTCGCGGCTTAGATAACGCTAAACAAGAAGACAAAGAAGTACCAGAATCATCTCGTGGAAATGTTTTAGTGTCATAAAATTAACAAATGTACATTATAAATTGTGAAACTCATACCTAAAATGGTGTAAAGTTAATATCGACATGCATAACTTTTTGTTACTGATTTTATTTTTTTCATTTTATTTAATATTGAAATGTTATTGTGGAGCATCAGGTTGATTGAAATAAAATTGTTTTGTAAGTACTCTTCTGTAAATTAGAGTAGAGTTTCAAATGAATAAAAAATATCTTTATAAATTTGTTTGATTCTAGGTAAAATACAATTTTGATGTTTATAGGTTGTGGTGTTTTAAGTAATGTGATTTTTGGCATACTTTTTGTGAAAGAATATATAACATATCTATAAATTTCAAAAACTTATTTTTCTGCTCGTCTGTAAAGTACCTAATTACCCACCGATTTAGCGTGCGGGAAGCGTCACTTTACCACGTCAGTTTCGTTTCCCATGAATGCGAGCCACTTCGGACATTTCCGGGATTTTACCGCACGGATTTGGGAGCAATCGGATGTATTCGTGTTGTTTTGCGAAAATCGACCCAAAAACTAACGGTCGTAGAAAAAGTATAGTATGCAACACGTTCGGTAAACTTTTTAACTCACTCGTTAATTAAAAAGTCGCCCCGCTCGTGTCAAATAAACTCGTGAGTCAAATGTCGTTTACCGCACTTGTTGCATAATATACTATGACGTTATGTAGATTGATTTTTGCATTTTTAATCTGTGGAACTACTTAGAGTTTAAAAAACCTCTATTGTTATCTATGGCCAGAGAATAAAGAAACGACTTGTTCTGAGCCATCCATAGGAGAGAACAAAACTGACATTGACGTTGACGTTGCTGGCAAGCCGAATGCTACTATACAAACAACCAAAATGGTTTTTAAATAGGATTGCATGTTTTTAAGACCTATGTAAATTAATTATTAGGATAAAAAAATGTTTCTACCTCTGTGGTGCTGGTGTAGTGTAATATGCTTCTATTCAGTTACGGTCTGTGTTGCTAGAATCATTAAAGCAAGAAGCCATTTTGCTGGCCTTTAGGAATTGTAATTATCCTAGGGAAAATTAGGCTTAAGCAATTATAAAACGGACCAATAGTAACAATTTCAGAAGTTCTTAACATGAGAATTTTCTAAAATTAAGTGAGTTCAGTTAATTAAATCAAAAGTAAAATCTAAAATATTTTTGTTACCTTTTCAGTTACTTTAAACCAACCATTGTTGCTTGGGACATGCACATATTTCCATGCATCTTTCAATATTCGTTTTGCTAAAAGGTGCCTTATGGGTAATGAAACTGCTAGAGACATGGAAACAGAATCAGTGAAGTCAGAAAACAGTTCCAGATCGAGGCGGTCCAGGAGCAACCGTGATAGAAATAATTTCAGGCAACATTCTCATCGTAGTACTAGGTGCAATGGTTGTATGGTAAATTTTACATAGAAATAGATTGGTTTCTTTTAGAAGCACAAAATCACGTAGAAACGACGAGATGGCTCCTTTTCAAACGGCTGTGACTTTGACTCCTGATAATAGAGATGGCCAAGAGGTGATAGAGGTGCAAATTCTACCCCAAGACGATAATTGGGGTGAAAATACTACTGCTATAACAGGTAACACTTCAGAGCAGTCTCAATCAACTGAAGATGTGAGTAACTGGCCTGGTGAGCCAGATACAGGCTTTAGTTTTCTGTGTCAGCAATATATGGGTGTCATTATAACATATGTTTTATCAACTGTAGCATTTCTAAGTCCAATTGCTATGGTGGTGTTTCCAAAACTAGGTTTTTTCTCAGCCCTATCCTCCAAAATAGGATTGGTAGATAGTGTAAAATTATTAGCATGTGGGGCCGAGTGTAAAGGTCAACTTGTATCATTGGCATTTAAAATGACCATATTAGCAGTTGGTGCTTGGGCAGTATTTTTAAGGAAACCTCATTCTACTTTGCCTCGGTTTTTCATGTTTCGCGCTGGGGTTTTGGTCTTTGTTTTTATATGTAGTTTTGCTTATTGGTTGTTTTATATTGTCCAAGTCACAGAAACAGCCAGAGCAGCAGCTTCCCCTGAGGAAGTGGTTGATTACAAAGCTTTAGTTGCTTATGCACTAAGCCTTGCCGACACTCTGTTATTTATACACTATTTAGCAGTGGTCTTGGTGGAAATAAGGCACTTGCAACCCTTGTACTATATCAAAATTGTTAGAAGCCCTGATGGGGCCAGTAAAGCATATGGAATTGGTCAACTCAGTATACAACGTGCTGCAGTTTGGGTTTTACAAAAGTATTACACCGAGTTTCCAGTTTATAATCCATATTTAGAAAGAATCCCCGTGTCAAAATCCCGTAAGACATCGACAAGTTTTAAATTTTATGAAGTAGACGGGATAAACAATTCTCATATGCAGCAGTCTCAATCGAGGGCTATGCTTGCTGCGCATGCTAGGCGGAGAGATTCTAGTCACAACGAACGATTTTATGAGGAACATGAATATGAGCGTAGAGTAAAAAAGCGCAGAGCTAGGCTAATTACAGCGGCTGAAGAAGCTTTTACTCACATAAAGCGTTTACATAATGATCAAGTGCCTGCCATACCAATGGATCCTCATGAAGCCGCACAAGCTATATTTCCCTCTATGGCCAGGGCTTTGCAGAAATACTTGCGTATAACTAGACAACAACCCCGACATACCGTTGATTCAATATTAAGCCACTTAGCTCATTGCTTAAGCAATGATCTAACACCGAAAGCTTTCCTAGAGCCCTTCCTAGTAAGCGAACCTGTGCTACAAAATGAGAAAGAGCAGAAAGATGTCCAGACTTGGGCGCTGATCTGCGAGGAGCTGTTGACAAGACCCATCGGTGATAATGTTACTTTTCAATTGAGACAGAATGACGTTTCGTTGCTTTGCGTCATAAAAAAGTTGCCTCATTTCAATATTACAGAAGAGGTAGTCGATCCAAAAAGCAACAAATTTGTATTGAGGTTAAATTCCGAGACGTCTGTATGACCCATGTACAGTTCACTCGATCGACTGATATAGGTTAGTTTTTAAGTAAGGTTAGATTTCGTTGTCTCAAACAATGTCAAAGTGGGTGAAAGTTTGCGGTATTCGTTACCTAATTTAAATTCAAAATGTTAAGTGATGCTACAGTTTACCTAGTTAGTAAAAATATCCCAAAGTATCATTTACAGAATGCAAATGTTCGAGATTAGATGTTAGGAGTGTTTTTTTTTTAAATATTGTAATAGCTGACTTTGAAAATAGGTCAGAATATGCAAATAGGAAATGATTTAAAAAGGATCTGAAAATCGATGAATTATTGACGTTTGACACAAGAAATTTGACAACACAGGATTAAAAAAAATAATATGAGTGGGGAAACTGAATTTTTGGGTAATTTATGCCTGTGCAGTTCAGCTAAGTTCTGTTATCTGGTAAACTGCAGGATTATACATTTATTCACTTAATAAATTATTAACTTATCAGAAAAGACAGAAGGGTTGAAAAAATCAAAGATTAAATTGAATTGGCCGAAAAGACCGCCCTTAATTTAAGAAATTTATTTTCGCGTGTTTTTTTTTTTACGTTGTAAATAAGTGTAACCCATAATTTAGGAGTATGTGTATTAACGTTTTCTCTTCGTGATCGTGCGAATTGTTAAATGATCAATTGACTTAGCTTAAGGAAAATATCCTTATTATATGAGTATTACCGTTGGAAGAATTACATTAAGTACTTGCGACTACAAGTAGTTATTGTAATTCTTCGAACGGCAATACGAAATATAATTTTAAATTATTTGAAAATGATTGGAGCATCCCCTAACCTGGGGATATTTGTGTCTCCTGGTGTAAGTATAACATATCTGACTTTTTGAAATGTTTAAATTTAATCTGATGCACAAAATGACGCACATATCCACTATATGTGTTTTGAAAATATGAACGTGTGTTAGTAGTAGTCATATTGTTGAAAAAGTATAAGTAATATTTGGGTGAAGATTTTTTCCTTTGTCATTGGCGCACTATGGTATTCTAAAACATTTTTGCTAATGTACGGGTTGTCTCAGATTTTAAATAGGAAAATTTAATTGTATACTAACTTCAAGTTCCTCAGCTCTTTTACTAGACAGAGTGTTTTCAATTCAATTAAGAATACTTGCTAATATTTAACGGCTCCAGAATTTGAATTGTAACACATTCTATTCACAGTTATACAATTATTTAACGATAACCATTGCACTCATGGAAAAATATTTATTTATTTTCTTCGTTTTTATTTAAAATTGAGGACATGGATGAGAAGATTTGGAAAAAAAAAACAAAAAAAAATTAATTGATTAATTACTAAATTGTTTTTTGCCCATCAAAATTATAAATATGTCATTCTTGCACTTCAACTGGAGTATCGTCGTACTTAAAATTACTAGAGAATTTTACTACTGCATAGTAATTTTGCCTGTTTAAAAGCTGAGTTATTTATTTGTGTAATCCTTGTTTAATTGACTGATTTTTTCGGCAGTATTAATTTTTTTTTAGTTTTTCTTCTTCGGTGAATAAATATTATAACATTGTCAATAATTTATTTATACTTATATTATTAAGTATTCAATTAAAACTTGTAAAAATCACGTTTATATCAATAATTACTCAATGGCGACGAGTTATTTTTAATGTAATCTCAATGGTGTGATGTACTTAAACCGAAACTTTCGTACTTATTTTTATAGGAATTGTAAATATGTGATATAATCATTTTATACATTAAAAAAAAAACAACGTACACGTATATATACATGTCATTATTTACGCTCAATTATTTATTTATTGCGAATCTCCGAAGGAGATTTTTATATTTTTTGTATTTTTCAAGTAAAATCGGCTTCCAATTCCTTGTGTTTCATTTGGTGACATAGTTGATCCAACGTTGACGACGGCTTTCAAATAAATTAAACTCAATTTTACGATCAGCGATTAATTTTTTCTGTTTAACCAATTTTTAAATTTACCCAAAGCCAAAAGATTGTTGAAGGGGACTAATTATGCCATATGCAATTTTTGGCAGTAGTTTCACCAAGCATTTATTTGATGATTGATTTATCTTTATTCTATCCACATTTGAAAAACATTCTTAACAAACAAATTTAATATGCCCTTTATGCCCTAAATCGTCAGTTCTTTTATAAAGAATGTATTACTATGAACTAAATACTGCTGGTCATTTTTTTCATCTCTAGATTTTCCAGGAAAAACATGATTTTAGCTTGTATTTGTTTGACTCTACCAACTTTTGTGTGTGAACAGGTAAATATAGCAATTCCCAAACATTTATTATTAACATGTTAGTTCAGGTCACTACACTATTTGAATCAGATCAGAAAATATTGTGAATACCAAAATGTGTAAATAGTAAATACACAAAAAACTGGATAATTTTTTAAAATTATTTAAAAAATCAAGAAATGCGCTTTTAAGGGTAAACCGTATATCGATAATTATGATATTAAAAAGATAAAACGCCGTTTGATAGATGTCTATGCAGAATTCATTGGCTTATACAAATTTTTAGTCTATAGTTTTTCAGCTATAATTCCAACATATTTTTTTAAACACCCTTTATTTTTATGCCATTAAATAGCGCCTTATTAGTAAAGCTAGCTTGTTACGGCTTTCGCAACCCAAGATTGAATTTTTGTGAAATGACAAAATTATTATAGCTTCTCTGGGTTTTTAGATACAGTTTAATTTGTAAACTTTTCATTGTTATAGACACCCGTTTTAGTTCTGTTGTACCTTAACTTATGGAGGAGATGGTCTGGATTATATTTTTTAAGTAGGATCTAGTGCCGTAATCAGCTTTCTTCAGAAACTCACAAATTAAGATATATAAAGTAAACTCGTGTTTTTATTTAGTTAAACAGCCTGTATGTCTTTTATTCATATTACGAGCTTTTCAAAAATATGTACACACATAAGAGCTATTTCAAATATATATCTTTAATTATATTTTTTATGAGTACGCCTTAAAAAATATATATTTACAAATATTTTTTTTACATAGCTACGTAATTTATTTAAAAACAAGTCGCAATAATGCAATATTGCAAATAAATGCAAATGTAAAGAAAATGAGTACCTTTTTCCATAGCCTAGTCATAAAAAATAAAATAAAATTAAAGACGTATGCCTTGTATTTGAAATACCCCATACGGGTTACAAAATTTTGAAATGCTAGTAATCAGAATATTGAAATTATTAAAAAACATACAGGGCGTTCCATTAAAAAATAACATAAGTTTAGGTTGTTTGTATATTAAAATGTCTAACGTTTAAAAGAAAGCTGATTACGGCACTGGATCACTACCTAAAAATAATCGAGCAACAAAAGTCTTTAACAATGCGAAATTATCAAAATCAGTCTGTATCTAAAAATCCAACATAGCTATGTCATTTCTATTTATTTCTGTCACGTTCCATTTCATAAAAAGAAGCGTTGGGTCATTAAAGTCGCACCACGCTAGCTTTGTTACAAAACCATCAAAAATGGGACACATAGTAAAAGACACTAGTGAAAGCTTTGAAAATCAGTTCAAAGGATGTGTAGAAAATTATAGGATAATCATCATAAGATAACTAAAATCTGAAGTTAATTGTTTTTTTAAATTAACTGCTTTTAAAAGATTTCAAAATCTTTATTATGACGAATCAGATGTTGAAGGTGATATCTGAACCATTGGTTTTTGAACCATATAAGAGATAAATTTCGCTAAATCATTTTGCTTTGGTCGTTTGCCAGATCTTTGACTACTATCTGTGTATCGATTGGCGAATTTTTATGTTTCTTTTTCCAAAGTAAGCATTTATATATATATATATATATATATATATATATATATATATATATATATATATATATATATATATATATATATATATATATATATATATATATATATATTCTCACGTATTGATTCACGGATTAAAAAATGTGATGACACTATATTCCGGGATATCATCCGTTCGCTCGTTGAACTCCGACTGGAATCCTGCATCCGACTGGAATCCTGCAAATCTTGCATCCGACTGGAATCCTGCAGACGTTTCGCCAAAATCTCACTTGGCATCTATATATATATATATATATATATATATATATATATATATATATATATATATATATATATAGGTATATTTATCCTTGTCTCCTGTTGTAAAAGCGTGAAACCCGCACGATGAGAGTACACGTGAATATTTACATACGGGGTGTCAAGTTTTATTTTCGTTTTTTTTGTATAATTTCCTAAATAGAGGTGCAAAAAGTAATAAGGCTTCAAAAATTCGAAAATACATGTAGCTACAAGTAAGAACAAAATTTGGAACAAATTCAAATTTCTAATGTCAAAAAACCTCCAGCTGCCAATTTTTGTTCATAAATCGACATTATTTAGGAAATTATGCCGAAAACTCAAAAGTATAAATAACACTTTCACACCCTGTATTATTTACAGTAGGTTTTTATTGGTCACACTTCCTGTTTAGGGATCATTTCCAGCAGTTAGTTAATATCTATGTACTACAGTCAAAACATATTTTTTATACCTATTTTTTATACCTATAAGCAGTTTTGCTTATATATAAAATTGAAACTTTAGGCGCTTTAAACAAGGATGAATTATAATGGTTCGTTGAAAATGCACAGATGCGTCGAGATATCGTTTTAACAGGCCGCCCTTTTTTTAATACCGCTCCGACCCTAAATAAAACGTGCCCCAATAACCGATGAATTTTGTATATTTTCGTCAGCGACTCTAGCCCCTGCATTATTCCGAGCACCCCTTGCTTTTTTAACTAACGCCCCGTCATAAGCTGATAATAGCAATGCCCCGTAAGTACGACGGAATCACTACGCTTTTTGTGTAAGTTCCCGCCTAATAGGATTTGTTAGTGTTGTGTGTTTTGTTACAATTACACAGATGTAAATATAAACTACTATACGCGACGAATAAAACAGATTTCGATCGTAACACGGACGTAATCCTTAGGACAATGCCTCACGGGTTAGCGATGTTTTAATTTGGCGTGAATGTTTACACGAATGGAGCACGAAAAGGGCGAAAACAGGATGTACTGAAATTAAACGCCAAAGGTTTAACGTGTTGTTAAACTAGACTCCAGAACTCCTTAGTTTTTGAATTACAGTGTGTTGAAGGCGATCTGTTGACGTCTTTTTTAAATATGGTTGTCCTAGAATTTTTTAAAAATTTTTAATACCCGATTTCTATTTTATCATTTTTATTATATTATTTCGATTATTTTCTTACGATCTCCGGCATATATATTTATTAACTTAAAATTAAAATCAAAGTGAAAATGGACATAATAGCCTCGTGACGAGAGAATGTTATTAGACAACATTTTACAATAAAAAATAGTATTTATAGTAATTTTATGCCTCCGTTGACGGGGTCAACGGCTGCAGGCCAACTCTTGCAGGTCGGTGGAATTTAACCTATGTGGACAACAGGATTTCCGGATATAACACCTCCCCCATTAAGTGAAAAGATGGAGCCTTGCTATAACTTCTTGTACGCTAACTAAAGCGTATCTTCTCGGGTAGTTATACTTCTGGGTCTAGTCCGTCTTTTCGGAGTTAGCGATTTGAGTTGCATCGGCTTCGAAGGTGATTGAGGATCGTTACCATCGGCGATGCTGAGTCGGTTTCTTTCTCGGGCATTTACAAAGATAGCAAAGATAGCTATTGTCAACCAGTGACAATGGTTGGTTGATGAAGTAGGTTTTCTAATTATTCCGAATATTCGTGCGACTTGTGTTGGGTCACGTTAAGGTCGTTGGTGTCGATCTTGCTCAGTTTCAGGGGTTTCAACTCTGGAGGTTGAAATTTCTCTGGAATATGAGAACAAGGGCGTGACTCTTGTAGGTCACGACAAAAACTAATTAAAGTCTATTTCTATGAAGTTGTAATCGGAGGCTAAGACGATTGAAGATTGACATGTAACAGGAACACGATTGGAATGTCTAAGCAACTGCAAGAGCTTCTCTATGGATTTCAGATCTCTATGCTTTTTAGATCTTCAGATAATACATAGAGTAAATAATCGTCATCACGCGCCATATATTTCATTGTTGTTGGAATTATATGAAATAATCGAGTTCGATTGTCCAAAATTCGAATAGGTAAAATACGATACAATGTGTATATTTTAGGCTCTATTAGGGGTATTCTTTTAATACGAAAACAACTTTATTTTCAGTTTGAAATGCTTCTAGCTCCATAATATATAACTTGCAATGCTCGAAGTATAGGGTGGTAGTGGTAAATTATTTTTTGTCAAAGATTTTGAGATTTCCTGAAGAGAAATGACTAAATCTCTTGGGTAAATAATACAACTATGTAAAACTTTGATTCGTGCCAGTACGCGCGACTCCATAATAATGCTACATGCGATTATTTAGGTCTCGCATGTATTTGATGATGAGTTGTTCTTCGTTATACAGAATTTCTGGTTGCCTACTACAAGCGTGCCCAAATATTAATTCATAAAGGGAAAAGCCATGCGTTTTATTCTTGTGTTGTTGTAGCAGATTATTGTGTATGGAAGAGCATGAAAGGGGTGTCCTTTTGGATTTTCGACTTTATGAGCTCGGATCATTTCTGTGAGCGTGGCATGGAATCTCTCTAGTGATCCATTAGATTGTGGGTGGCTAACGCTTGAGAAAGTGAGTTTTATATCGTACAAAAGACAAAGATCTTTGACAAGGGAGTTATCAAATTCTCGGCCATGGTCACAATGTATTCTAACAGGAGTTCCAAAATGTTGGATGTAGAGATGAAGGGTGTGTCTTTTTGGAGAAGTCTAGTTAGAGGTTTTGAGATCTTAGCGAAATTGGGAATAAAACGTCGATAGTAACCGGTTAAACCAAGGAAGGATTTAATGTCTTTCGGCGATTTTGATTCTAAAATGTTTTGAATAGCGTCTATTTTGTCGGGTTTGGGTTTGACTCCGTCTTGGGTTACGAGATGCCCTAAGTAAGCTACTTCCTTTCGGAGAAAATCACACTTGTCAGGTTGGTGTTTGAGGTTTTCACCACGAAGGCGTTTGAAGACATCAGTTTAACCTTTGTATATGTTCGTGTATGCTAGCGGAATAAACGATAATGTCGTCCATGCAAACGAGACATCGTTCGTTTTGAAAACCTAAGAGAATGTTGTCCATGACGCGGTAGAAAGTGTATGGAGAATTTTTTAGTCCGAACGGTAAACGGAGAAATTCAAAATGACCATTTCGGTGAAACCCAGAGGCTAGGTCCAAAGTAGTGAAATATTGACATCTGCCTAACTGGTCTAAGAGATCGGAATATTGGGAAGGGGGTATTTATCGTCGACAGAGACTTCGTTTAGTTTGCGATAGTCGATGACGACGCACCATTTTTGTTTCATGGAAACGTACAATTTTTTGGGACGACTCAAACAGGGGAAGACCATGGAGAAGTGGAAGGTCGAATAATTCCTTGTTCTAGCATTTTGTTAATCTGTGATTTTATTATTATTTTTCAATATAATCCTCCTTAACTTCAATACACTTATTATATCTCTTTATCAACACAACAACAACAACTCAATTCCTTTAAAAAAATATTCTTCTGGTTTGTCTGCAAAATGAGCTAAAACAGCCTCTTTTAACTTAACTTCGTCGTTAAACCGCCGTCCACGTAAGTCCTTTTTCAAATATCCAAACAAATAATTATCGCGGGGGGCCATAACTGAACTATAGGGAGGATGGTCTATCTATTGGAACCCACACTCTAAAATGGCAGCTTGTGCAACACCAGCAGTATCCATTATCGTGCAAAAGATGCACGCCTCTGGTCAGTTTTCCTCTACGTTTTACACGTATGCAGTCCCGCAATTTATGTAATAATGTTGCGTAATATTTACCATTGTCAGTGGTATTAGTTTCTTTAAAATCTATCAAAAGAATTCCTTCACAATCCCAAAAGATCGTGGTCATCACGTCTTTTGTTGACTGGCAGACCCTGAATTTTCTTGGAGGTGCTTCACCCTTACGACGCCACTCCATTGTTTTTTTTTTCGATAGAGGGTCATAATAGAGAACCAAAGTTTCATCTCCCGTAACAATAGTTTCTATCACAGGCTTCGGTTCTGACCCACAGAGTTCCAAAAAAGACCGCGCACACTCGACACGGCGTTGTTTTTAAATACCCGAAAGGTTTTTAGGAACCCATCTTGCACTAACCTTATGCATACCTAAATGATCATGCAGGATTCGACGGACACTTGTATCAGAAAGCTTAGTAATTTATGAGATTTCCTTGACCTTGAAACGTCGATCAATCAATACCACCTCTTCCACAATCGCAATAATATCTTCCGTTATGACCTCCACTGGTCGACCAGTTCTTGAATCATCTTCAAGGGACTCCTGCCCCATTCGAAAACGTTTTGCCCATTCTTTACAAATAAATCACTTTTAAATTGGGAAATGATATACGGTACCGTCGATGTAAATCACAAAGTTAACATTTTTAATAAAAACATACTACACGCTCCCATTAAATGAAAAAAAGTTATGAAAAGCCGTTTGCTCCCTGGATAACACCAAATATAAAATATTTATTATAACTAAGGCGAAGCACTACGGCTATATCCAAAAATGAAACCTAAAGCAATTAACAATACAACAAAAATCTCAGAAAAAAATGCAAAGAATGCATCAATTCGGGAAGAAAAATACATATTTTGGCTAATTAGCGACAAAAAACGGAAAAGAACTGTGGCAAAACGCAAAACCGGTAAACTTATTTCGCAAACCAAACAGCATCAACTCTCCTCCAGATTTTCTGTCAGGCCCTACGCAACCAGACAATTACTTCAATGGATGTGCGAACATTAAAGACACAAAATCGCACGGCAAAATCAAATTTTACAGCTTGAATAGAGTGACAAAGTATGAATTTAAGCTAAATCGGACCCTAAAAAATATTGACCTCCCTGATCAAAACTTCTGCTGCAGGAAAAGATCGGCTTTTAATAAATACGGCGATCCTAGCAAAAAAATCCCAGAGATCTGGAAAAATCTATTACTAAACCAACACTGACAATTAAAAATTAAAGATATAACACCCATCAGTATTTTACCAGTACTTTCAAAAATTATCACCAAATAATCCTAGAGTGCCAATCAGGTTTCGTAAAAATTTTAGTACCATAACTAACGGTTCTCTCAAAAATTGTTGATAACATAAATTTGCGTAGTGATAAAGGTGAAAACACACTTGTTGTACTACTAGATTTTAGCAAACCCTTTAACGCCATAAATTGCGACTTTTTGCGAAATTTTCCTACTTTGGATGTTGAAAAGACTTTATTGAATTATGTCAAAATTATTATTAAACATATAAATAATTACGCAAAAGATCATAATCTCAAACTTAACCCACAAAAATCATGTCTATTATTATTTTGCAACAACAAACAAAACGAAGAAATCAAAAAAAATATAATGAGCATAAAAGTCCAGGATGAGAATATTCCTTTCTTCTACGAGGCAAAAAAAAAAATGGAATTATCTTCCATAAGGAGGTGAGTTTCAAATTGCATATAAACAAAGAACTATAGAGCGCCAATGCTTATATGTATAAAATAACGTCTTCCACAAAAAAAATAAATTATTTATGTAATACCTTAATACTTTCACTCCTTCATTACGGTACTATAATCTATAGCAAATCTGTAACATCAGAAATACGCTACACAATTCAAAAGGTTATTATATTACACCCTATTTAAATAAAACATTCCAACCGGCCGACGAGAAATTTAAGATTTCCAACCCAAAACTGCTTCATTTCAAAAATCTTTTTTTTGTTTTGCACCAAAATACTGGAACAAAATCCTATCAAATGCGACACTTCTTTAAAGAAGTTTAAAACATTTATTAAAACTAAGCTACTAGATGAGTAACGATTATAAAGATTACCTTCGTTTGTGTACCCTAAATAGTCTAGGTCTTTCTTCTCTGTTGTTTTTCTTCTTGCACCTAGTGTTTTTTTTCTATGTTAAGTGTGCATATAGTGATCGACTTATACATAGTAGCTGCGTTGCTCCTGGTTTGTGAATCTTGGGCAGTCGAGTGGTTTGACTTTTTTACAGCTTCTGATAGAGAAAAACCTTTAATAACAGGGTGCGTGAAATTATCAACATTATTTCAGATATATTAAAATCCGAGAACCAAACCTTCTCCTCTTAATTAAAAATGCTTGTTTGGAACATACATTTTTCTCGAATATCACTAATATATTTAAATTATGGAAACGCTACGTTGATGATACTTTTGTTATTTGACCTCATGGTCAAGAATGTTTACTAGATTTTCTTAACCATTTAAACTCTATACACCCTAAGATACGTTTTACCATTATACCATCTATAGAAATCTATGACCAACCAAACAATCTTAACCGCGACTCAGGTCTTTACCTAAGGAGGTATAAAGTATAATACGAGCTAGTTTCGGTTAACTTCTGAATAATCCATGAGTATGATTGGCGAAACTTCACTAAACTTCAGTAAGTTCGATTCAACAACTTACGCAGAAGCAATCCAGAAGATTTTGTCAATATTAACCCATATTCCTTTCATCACAATTCTTTCAGGAATTGAGAAAAGAAGATGAAACAAAAAATATTTTAATTTTTCTCAGCTTGAAAACTCACTTTAAATATGGCTAAGAAATTTGCAGAAACCGGGTTTCAAACTCCATGTGGCAATCTCAGAACGCGATAATAATTTGCAGCGTTTTCTGTTTACCAATTTGTTTAATATATATTTTTTTATTTCCAAGACTATCTGACCTTCATTGCCATACAGTTAGCTGAATATCAAACTTTTTGCGGGGTATTGAACAGAATCCCCCTAATTTATTGAGTTTTTGTAATGTTGACTATACAATGTTAAACAATAGCAAGAGTAGGGTGAGGTGATGAATTTGCGTAGTCGAGTACCTTTCGATAAAAATAATCATAATTTTATATCAATTATCAAGCAAAAAATTTTCCGTTATTGCGTCATAAAACCAGGTTTCGGCACTTATTTGAAGTACTCGATTTAAATATTTGACATTTGTTTTAACAATACCCAGTGTTTCATAAACTAGTGCTAGTAAAGAAAACAAATTTTTGTATTTATTGACTAACGGTATAAAAATTTCACTTAAAAGCTAAGCATCACAGTATATAGACGTTCACTAACATGGGCAAACAGTCTAATGCCTATTGGGTTCTTCTAACGGAGCAGGGTTGTAAGGGGAGTAAGGGCTGATGCCAATGCGATTCGGTTTCAGCCAAGTTTTAGGGTATTTCACGAGGTAGAAAATGAACCCTATCAGCAATATAATAACCGCCATCAAGACCACGATGAGAATGCGGTGCGATGGTTTTCCGTAAATTTCTGGATAGCACTGCTGCAAATCCAGTTGATTGAGATCCATGACGCTTCGGTGTCTTAATACTTTTGGCGAACTGCATCTAAAAATCAAAATTATGAGCCTTATATTTTTGTAGAATGGAGAAAGACTAAACTCAGAAATCATTTATACAGGGCGTCCCACTTAAAAACTGTACACTCTTGTAAAATCGTGGTTTATGGTTAGTTTTTTTTTGTTGTATAGATCTCTGAAAAAAATGCCAAAGTCATGGCCAACTGAGATCATTCAACAAAAGAGAGAGAAAAGTGCTATTTTCGATGTAAAAAAAATTAATTGTCGACGAATTTTTATTGCTTCAACTTAAAGTCATGGCCAACTGGAACTATTTAACAAAGGCGAGAGAAGAGAGAAAAGTACGATTAGGTATTTAAAAAATAATAAATTGGTAACGAATTCTTATTTAGCAGTGCTTAGCACCCAACTATACCAATTTTTATATTTTTTCAATACAGGGTGTTTGAAATATCATTTGCACCCCGCTTCAGGCTGTACATCGTTGTAAAATATTTGATTGCGGTTTGATTTTGATTTATTTTTGTTAGATAGATCTCTCAAAAACCACTTTTTATTACATCCACCTGAAGTCTGGGAAACTGTCAATAATAATAAAGTATCAACCAATTCTTATTTAGGACTACATAAAACCTAACTACTAATTTCCATAAAGTTCAAATACAGGGTGCTTGAAATATCGCCTCGCTTAAGCATTACTCCTGTAGAATGTTTGTTTATGGCTCAATTTTGATAATTCTTTTTTTGTTGGAGGGATTTTAGTCAAAAAGACTAACGATTTTACAGACTTTACAACGCTGTGTTTCTTTAATTAAAAAGGATTTTTATTTCTCATCCAATAATTAAAATAACAGGAAGATGAAAACTGATTGACTTCGGCATACTGTTTCCTGTCAAATTAACTCTCTAATTTATATTTTAATTTTGTTTACATTATACCTTTCGAATACTATGGTTTACTAATGCTGTTATACAAAAAAATAAATGTCTCTTAAAATTAAAAACTTTGGTCATTGGTCTATTTACTTTTAGGTGGTCTTGTATATGAATCTGTTGTTTTTTTAAAAAAATCTCTTAGAGTACTTCTGGATTTTCCGATTCAAGAAACTGTGTCAGCTAGAAAATAAGAAAAAACGTTTCATTTCTCTTTAGTGAAATACATCCAGCAAAAAAGAATTATCTACAGGAGTAACGCTTAAGCAAACTGAATAAGAATTCGTGGACATTTTATACTTAAACAAATCTCTAATAGCCCTTCTCAATATTTGACCTCAAAAATTAGTCCCAGTTGGCCATGACTTTAGGTTGATGTAAAAAAAAAGGTTTTAGTGCGTTTTTGAGAGATCAATCCAATAAAAAAAAATGTTATCAAAACCAAACCATAATCCAAGATTTTACAACGATGTACAGCCTTAAGCGCTGAGCAAAGGATATTTGAAACATTATAAAAATTCGTATAGTTGGGTTCTAAGTACTCCTAAATAAGAATTCGTTGCCAATTTATTTTTTTTAAATCCCTAATAGTACTTTTCTCTCTTCTCTCTCCTTTGTTAAATAGTTCCAGTCATGACTTTAATTACAAGCAATAAGCAAACCAAGATTTTAGTGCATTTTCAGATGTATACAACAACCAAAAATCAAAATCGATCCATAACTAAAGATTTCACAAGGGTGTCTGTACACTCTTGTGAAATCTTTATTTATGGATCGATTTTGATTTTTTTTTGCACTAAAATCTTGTTTTGCTTATTGCTTCTTAAGTGGGACACACTGTATATGCTTAAGTGTCATTGAGGCAAATAAGAAGTAAAAATTGAGTAAAAAAAAAGCAATTTCAAGCCAACATCATTTTTAGAACAGTTGTTAGGTAGTTTAGAATGAGAGAAGTACAGTTCAAGTACAAGGTCCCCCCAATGAACAAAATTTCATCATCCATTTAGCCAAAGTATGTTAAAAGTGTTCTAATAATATTTTTTTCGCATACCGAGAGATAAGGATTATCTGCCCTCTTGAAATTCTATTTGATTTTTTTGACTTCTAGTTGCTGATTACCTATACATAACTGGATTTTAAATATGTTGTTTATATAAGTTTAAATATTTGTTTATTCTTAATTGAGAGAAATTTCTTTCTCTAATTAACACGAGTATCAAAAATTGCGCATTTGCAATAACCAGCTTTTAGCTAACCAGGCGAGGTAAATGTGAGAATGTCGTTGTAAAATCATTTTGATCTTTTCTGTAAACGTTTTTCTTCCATATTTATTTATAATTTACCGAGAAATCTATTAATCTGCGGAACAACGATAACGGTTTGGAATTGGTATCGTAAATTTTAAAAATTAAATTATCTAAGCCTTGGTAAAACGTTTGACTCGTATACATTTTGATATAACGCAATACCTTATTTCGCTACTTTGGAGGAGCTCGCCATCGAATTCCTGTAGCCAAAGGAGGTCACAATTGCATTTCCAGGGGTTGTACCTCAAATCGATATGGTCCATTTTCCTAAACAAATATTTGTAGGACTCGTTGATGGATGTTAACCCATTCCTAGCTAGAGACAAGTATTTGGGGAATGCCGACAACGTCTTGGAGGGTATTCCAAACGCCAGCTCAGTAAAATTCTTCAAATTTGTACAGTCCGTGATGATCAGGCTTTCTAGCGACTGCAGATTGTAAAAGGCGTAATGATGAACGTTGGTTAAGCTGGGCATTCTGCTTAGTTTCAAGTATTTGAGGGAATGATAGTTGAGGTATTTTGCCGATAGGAAAGTGAGATTGTTCCCTGATAAATCTAGGTGTTCTACGGAGTACGGCACCAAAGGGATTAGGTTGAACTCATTATCAGCCATGTCCAAGTACTCAAGGCGGATGAAAATGCTGAAATAATCGGGATGCAAATCGCTGACTTCCACGTTATTTAAAGCCAAATGTGTGATGTTCGAATTTATGGCCAAAGTTTCTGCCAATACGTCCTTTGAGTTCATCAAAAACGGACCCAAGGGGTTGTTGCTCAGGTCCAGATGGGTTAGAGCGTGCAACGGTTCAAATATACCATCCGGTAACACCTTTAAATTATTGTAAGCCAAATTCAAATAGTACAGGTTGGTCAAAGTGGAAAATATGTCGCCGCCCTCCAAGCTGGTGATGTTGTTGTAGCTTAAATCCAGGAGACGTAGTTCCGGCAGACTTTTGAAAAAGTTGACGTCGACAAAATTTATTCTGTTGTGGCTCAGGATTATTCTGGTTACACTCTCGCTCGATATCGGAGTGTCCAGAATTTCGATATTATTTAGATTTAGGTCTAACACGTTCACATCTTCCGTGAATTTTGTTATATCTGGGAATTGGATCAAGTTCAAACCTGAGCATTTAGCGACTATTTTCGCAAGTCCTGTGATTTCATCGCTGTACCTTCTGCACTGACATCCCGAAGCTCCGTTGTCACACACGGGCTGAGCATTTGCCAAAATCACGGACACCAAGCACCACCACAGAGCCAGATACATTTCGGCCATCGAAAAATTGCAACCAAATGATTCAATTATTGAGATACGGCAAACTTGTTTACTTATCTCGTTTTATCAGTAAGCGCAAATAGAATAAGTGACTAAATAATTATTTGGATCGCTCAGTGAACAAACAGTATGAAATTTATTAATTCGACAAATATGTCGCGATAAAAGGGGTTTCCAAAAAGGAACATGTATTCGGCGTCTCAAAATTCGCCGCATACTTTTTGTCAAGTTCTGAAAATAACCAAACACTATCTTTTAGATCTAGAACTGCAGGCTTTCAATGTCTACTTGTTGGAGACTTTTTAAATTTGTTCTAGTTTAATTGAGTCGGGAGATCGGAATTCACAAAATTTTATAGGAAATTAAAAGGAATTGCTACAAAAGCGAGCACCGCTCCATGGAGGGCAGTCAGTCAGAAGAGTGAAATGTATACAAGGAACATAAATAAAAGACGTTATATAAGCTATGTGAATATTGGTTTGTAAATAATTTTGCCTGCGACTTTAATTGTTTTTATATTTCTGGTAAGTTTGGTTGTTTAATTACATAAGATATTTTTAAAATACCAACATTTCGCATTGTACCGAAACTGGTAGTTGGCTTGATTAATAATTCCAAATACATATTTTTTTATTGCAAGGGTGAGTACAGGAAAGAACATAAGAAATAATTTTTACTTGATGCGGCAACACTGTAACACATCTCAACTTACGTCCCTGTATATAACCATACATAATTTAATTTTACTGCAAGCCACACTGTATTTGGACATGAAAATGAGGAACGAGAAGTAACATTAGGTTAGCCGTTCAAATTTTAACAGCTTGAGATCGTGACGTAAAGATTTGGTTTGATGTTTAAAAAGCAGTAAAAGAAAAATTTTTTTGGTGGTTCTTTATCGAGCTTTCAATGTAAATTCAGTGCAACATTTTACCTCAGCTGTATATATGTATATATATATATATATATATATATATATATATATATATATATATATATATATATATATATATATATATATATATATATATATATATATATATATATATATATATATATATATATATATATATATATATATATATATATATATATATATATATATATATATATATATATATAAGTTTTTTAAATGCCAGGATATTTGTTTTATTAAAATCAGTCTGCGTTGTTATTAGTTCTAATTATTGTTAAGACATATACATATACGCAGAACATTAGGACTTCTAGTGACATCTCAGTTGCAATATTAAACCCGACAATTTTAAATGCAAATTTAACAATAACCGATTACAAGCGAATCGCACTTCTGAAGTCACCCCTTCTACGCGCGGCATTGTATTTTTCTGCGTCGTTGACTCCGACTTTAAACGTCCATCAGTGAAACAGAGCGAAATGTAATCTATAACCATCGTATGGTAACCTTTTGTGTCATCCCCTTGTTATCGAGGGCCCATTAGAACCAAATTTGTTTTCTAACGAACGACATCGACCCTCTAGTTAGACGTCTTTACCAAGGTAATTGTAAAGAAAATGTGTCTAAAGATTTAATGTAAGTATTCTATAATATTTTTATTCTACTTTAAAAAAACAAAAATTAGCAAAACCCGAACTTTGGAGGCGGGGGTGCTAACGCAATTACCCTCGCTTACTGTACCTTTAGGCAAAAATTCCTGCCTTAATGGATTCATATTTCGTTTTACGATGGTCCGCCTGACGGATACAATATAAGCGACGCGAAAGTAACCCGAAACCATCTAAAATTTATCACAAATCTGTTTTGATGCGTCGAACGTTTTCTACACAACACATCTGCGGCTGTTCGGGAGCTTGCACGCATTAAAAAGGGTTCTCCAGATTGCAGATAACCATAAATAAGATGTCTGCGGTCTATTACTATTATGTTATTCTTTTTGTTGTATCATCTTGTGTTGTGTGCGTGTTATTCTTCTTCTGTTTGTTTCCTTTATATTCTGTTCGTTGTTTCGGACAGAGAAAGCACTTCGGTCGTTTTTGTTGCGCTTCGAAACAGTTGAATGTTTTTTTTTACGATTCGTTGTCTAGTGTGTAATGCTTCCGAAAAGTTAATAGAAGATGTCGAAATTTTGAATTTATTAGGTATTAATTTTATGGCGTTGTTGTGTTTAAAAAATTTCCATTTTTGGATGGAGTCTGTAAGCTTTACATTTCCTAAAAACAAATTGTCTTGATGTCATTTCATATTCCTTGTAGATCACCTTCGATAATTGTTTACCACGGCAGCAATTTCGTTGATGCGTCGACCGCTTTCCACGTGACTCCGTTGCTTTTTTGATATGGCACTTGAAACAACTTTTGCCTTTGTTTACTGTTATGACTGTTTCTTCATGATAAAGCATAGATTATGCTTTGTTAAGACAGATTTTCAGTGAACAGAGATAATCTTCCAAACGAGTAAAAGATTTTTCAATAAATACTGATTAATTATATATATTATTATATTCATAATAAAATAACGCCAAACTGCAAAAAAAATTATACCAAACATGTATTCGGCATTGGAGGAGTAAGGATTTAGAAACAACAAACTTTACTCAAGTCGACAAGGTATTGATCGACCTGTGTATAGCTGATCAGGATCTTCAAAATATCCTTTCAAAATCGGCCTTCGGTGGCAAGGATTTCTTCCAGTAAATTTACGTTCGTCCCGGGATGAGATAATACGACATAACGCAGAAAAGTTGATAATTTTCGTAAATAAAGGCCAAGCGTTTTATCGCGCCCAACACAAAACATTTTATCCGATCCAAGGGCGATACCATCTCGGACACGGAAAGCTGACAATCGCGACTTATCTCTCCATCGGGCGTTGTAAGGGTTAGTAACCCAAAACGGCAACAAAAAGCATTAGGCAGCCCGGATACCGTGTAGAGATGCCTCGATACCATTGTTAAGTGCGTTCATTATAAGTAGGTGACATTTCGACAGCTTTTGTCACACGAACGGTGTCCAAATTGATGTCTAAAATGAATAGTCTTATATCTATTTAACAGAACCGTATCGATTAATTGCGGTAATTTTTTTAAAAATGTGAAATAGCCGGAGTTATCGAAAACAGAAGCACCATTGTACTATCCTATCTAAAATTTCCAGTGTGTAAGTATGTGGATAAGTAAAAACGAAAATGCTCTGGTTGGTTCTCATTCATAATTCCATTTTTGATATACATTAATTTATACCTAATCTTTCTTTACCAATCTTAAAACAAAATATTGTACCTGTTACTATTTACAACACATATCTTATATATGTTTCTATATACATCTAATATTGTTACTCCTTGTTCAGTTTTGGTTTTTTAGGAGGGTACTTTTGTAATATGGTCTCAAATTTCAAAAGCCACATTTCTAGTTTTAATGATTTTACTGTTCAGAATTCCCCTAAACGAATGATAATTTTTTCCCACTGGCAGCTGCTCTGGCCGTCATACAGTTAAGAACGGTTGAAGTCTGCGCTATATGTATATCTAAGCTTAATACGGTCCTGTCCGGTTTAGTGCTGAACGACGGAAACGCATTAGAACTGTGAAACTTTTCTCTTGTAAAGTTTAAAAAGTAGTTAATCGTCGAGGTTTGATGATAATAAACATTCTCGTTTGTTTCGTAAACAATAACAAGGGTTAGATACGATCAGATGGCGATTATTTGTTAAGCATTATTAGGTTGCTGTAAATGGACGTCCCATTAAAGAATAATTTGCTTGTTCAAACTTTAGAAATAGTATAAAACTCAAGTTTAGGAAAATACCCACTTAGGGTTGGAAATAAAATGTAAACGCGATGTATCGCGATTTTTCTTCATTCATTCGCGTTATTTTTCCTTTGTTTCGAATTTCATCTATCATATATACATTTTTTAATCTATTTTCTTTTTTTTCTTTGCAATGCATTGTTAATTTGTTTTTCGTTTAAGTTAACTTAAAGATTGATGCACAAACGCAAATGTCTTAACAAAAAATCTGAATAAAAACTTTATTTTTCTTATTATTATTTAATTTGAATGTTGACTTATCGCCATGTTTTAAATAGAATTTAATTTTAATTTTTATTTTAGCTGTTTTATTTCTATGCTACAATTTTTTCAAATACTATTGATGGTTTAACAACGTTTAATTTAACTAAATGGTATAGTCTGTCTTAATCTTCACCGTGTTGGTTTTCGACGGATCCACCACGATAAAACTTTAACTATGTTATTTACTTATTGTTATTTTTCTAAAGCCATTAACAACAAATTTATTCTTACTTGAGAAATAAGGCAGGGGTGGGCGAGATATGTTTCTTTCTCTTTGATATTTTTCAAGTAGGCAAGTAGTAATGGAATCACACAGATTATGCACTTGAAAGTTTAATTGTCTTCGAGAAATTAAATGATATAGATTAGATAATAGATCCATAATTTACCTTAGTGAAACATGGTTCGATACATACGACACTGTCTTTAAAGGATGGGTTGATTCCACTCAAAACTGTCATATGAAAGCACCTTCAAATAAAGGAAAAGGCATTACCATCTGGGCCAGAAGACGAATTTGACCCAAACTGCTTGCTGTTGTCTGCAAAGAAGATTAACGATTCTAGCTTGGATTATCATGAGGATACAAGCGCCGAACTTTTTTAAAAGTGCTCCTAATAACAGTGTTATTGATATGGATAACGCAAGCTGCCAGAGCCGTCTGCTACGCAAAGCACCAGTCTCATCAAGTTCAAAAACTGAAATCCAGGAATATTTGTTAGAAAATGATTTATATTTTGAATTCGCTTACAAAAAACGCAACTTTTGGAAGTCCTAAATTCATATGCACTTAAAAAACAGTATGAATGCGATAATTTGACTGAATAGGCTGGGCATACTGTTTTACGTTGTCCTCCCTATCATTGCATGTTTATCCCCATAGGGCTTTTGTGGAAGTGGACGTAAAATCAAAAGTCAGAGCAGAAAATGTTACTTCTACTTTAAGTCGC